AGAAATGAAACTTCGATATCAATTTTCTTCTTCTATATATATGCGTATATCTGGAAAAGTTCTTGACGGCGTTCAAAGGGATAGCCATTTTTATGTTCAGGAGGTAAAGGAGCATCATTCCTGAGATTTTGAACGAAATCGGAGGGGTCCGCCGAACGTGCATATGCATCACCTATGCAATTTGAATGTGCATGGATGCGTATATCACGAAAAGTTCTTGACGGCGTTCAAAGGGAGTACTATTTTCATGTTCAGGAGGTCAATGAGCATCATTCCTGAGATTTTAAACGAAATCGGAGGGGTCCGCCGAACTTGCATATGCAACACCTATGCAATTTGAAAGTGCATGGATGCGTATATCTGGAAAAGTTCTTGACGGCGTTCAAAGGGAGTGCCATTTTCATGTTCAGGAGGTCAAGGAGCATCATTCCTGAGATTTTGAACGAAATCGGAGGGGTCCGCCGAACGTGCATATGCAACACCTATGCAATTTGAATGTGCATGGATGCGTATATCTGGAAAAGTTCTTGACGGCGTTCAAAGGGAGTACCATTTTCATGTTCAGGAGGTCAAGGAGCATCATTCCTGAGATTTTGAACGAAATCGGAGGGGTCCGCCGAACGTCCATATGCAACACCTATGCAATTTGAATGTGCATGGATGCGTATATCTGGAAAAGTTCTTGACGGCGTTCAAAGGGAGTACCATTTTCATGTTCAGGAGGTCAAGGAGCATCATTCCTGAGATTTTGAACGAAATCGGAGGGGTCCGCCGAACGTCCATATGCAACACCTATGCAATTTGAATGTGCATGGATGCGTATATCTGGAAAAGTTCTTGACGGCGTTCAAAGGGAGTGCCATTTTCATGTTCAGGAGATCAAGGAGCATCATTCCTGAGATTTTGAACGAAATCGGAGGGGTCCGCCGAACGTGCATATGCAACACCTATGCAATTTGAATGTACATGGATGCGTATATCTGGAAAAATTATTGACGGCGTTCAAAGGGAGTGCCATTTTCATGTTCAGGAGGTCAAGGAGCATCATTCCTGAGATTTTGAACGAAATCGGAGGGGTCCGCCGAACGTGCATATGCAACACCTATGCAATTTGAATGTGCATGGATGCGTATATCTGGAAAAGTTCTTGACGGCGTTCAAAGGGAGTGCCATTTTCATGTTCAGGAGGTCAAGGAGCATCATTCCTGAGATTTTGAACGGAATCGGAGGGGTCCGCCGAACGTGCATGTGCAGCACCTATGCAATTTGAATGTGCATGGATGCGTATATCTGGAAAAGTTCTTGACGGCGTTCAAAGGGAGTACCATTTTCATGTTCAGGAGGTCAAGGAGCATCATTCCTGAGATTTTGAACGAAATCGGAGGGGTCCGCCGAACGTCCATATACAACACCTATGCAATTTGAATGTGCATGGATGCGTATATCTGGAAAAGTTCTTGACGGCGTTCAAAGGGAGTACCATTTTCATGTTCAGGAGGTCAAGTAGCATCATTCCTGAGATTTTCAACGATATCGGAGGGGTCCGACCATGTCCGACAAATTTGCTTTATGTGTGGCAAATTCGAATATCCCTTGTATTTAACTGTTAGCTGTATGCAAGAGGTTTTGACGCTTTTTTTACATTTTGGTACAGCAACGCCCCTTGGATTTCAGTATATTGTTTTTGTAGGAGGTAGTGCGAATGTCCATCATAAATATAAAGCTGTCACGTGTCAAATAGCGCCAAAAGGTGAGAAAAGGTATATGACCTTGAACGACCTTGAACTTTAGATACTCATCCTGAGAAAACTATGGGACGGCGTTAAGTACAAATTAGTTTTTGGAATCAGCGCTTATGTTTACATCAACTCAGAAGTTCTTGAAAATTTTGGAGGGGTCCGATTTTTCCAACAAGGGTTACGGTCCAGAATATGTTAGCAGTAATACAAATGTGAATATTTTGAGAACCACTTGACGGCGTGAAATAAAAACGTGATTTTCGCAATCAGGAGCTCAAAATCTATAAGCTGTGCAATTTTGAGCCAAATCTGAGGGGTCCGCGAATGTGCACGCGAATCTGAATGTGAATATAATGCAACTTTATGCACGTCAAAATATTACAATTAAATTAGTAGAAACTTCATAAAACTCTGATTTGTGATGCAATGCGCAACAGAAATGCGAGGGAAAATGGTAGTAATCTGGTAGCAATCATGAAGCTTTTTCCCTGTCGCTGATAAAAAAAACACTTTGGACAGATTTTTTAACGCAGGGGAAATCCTTCATTTTGAGTTGCAGGGACCATTTGAATGGCCCATTTTAGTTAAACATAGGCCGAATTTTTCGATTTCAACCCCATTTATCGTAATGAGGCGAATCCGTTGTTTCAGTGGTACGTTTTTTGAACATATATAGGGCTTGAATTTCTCCTCAGCCTGCCTGAAACACACCATAATTTGCATGCATTTCTATGAGTGAAGGAAAATTCATGCGCCGTGATGACGTCACGGTAAAGGAATTCTGGAGCTCGTGAACGGGGGCTGGTAGGGGGAACGTAAAAAATTCCCTAATGAACCTACCTGCAGCCCCCGTTCACGAGCTTCAGAATTCCTTTACCGTGACGTCATCACGGCGCATGAATTTTCCTTCACCCATAGAAATGCATGCAAAGCATGGTGTGTTTCAGGCGGGCTAAGGAGAAATCTAAGGCCTAAATGTGTTCAAAAGACATACCACTAAGCCAATGGATTCGTCTCATTACGATAAATGGGGTTGAAATTGAAAAAATCGGCCTATATTTGACTAAAATGGGCCTATCAAATGGTCCTTGCAACTCATAATGAAGGATTTCCTCTGCGTTAAAAAAAATTGTTTCTTGTGATTTTTATCAGCTACAGGGGAAATCCTTCATAATTGCTACCAGATTACTACCATATTCCCTCGCATTTCTGTTGCGCATTGCCTCACAAATCAGAGTTTTGTGAAGTTTATATTAATTTAATTGTCATATTTCGACTGATTTTGGCGATTTTCAATTATTTCAACGCAGCATGGATCAGATAGCTCTCATAGTTTGCTGAAGAATGTGGCTTTTGCTTGGTTATTTTCAAGTTATCTGTGATTTGGTGCGCCGTGATCGTAGCATTATACAAATTACCTATATCAACTTTAAAAATTGAATCAACTTTTGAAGTGAAGTTCACATGAAAAATCAAAAGTTCAAGCATAATAATTGTTTAAAGATAATGATGCAACATTTGTCTCCCAGATGGAACTTATATTTCAATTAAAAACTGAAAATGGAAAACAGAAGATGGATCTGCGGAGTTACTGAGATCACAAGGTGCTCTTGATTGTTGGTAATTGAAGATGTTGAGAGAACTTGTGAATCTGCATACCAGTCCTGACTTGCTTGATTGTTTAAAACTATTTTAATTCTCATAATTGTGTAATGTGTAGTGACTGTGCACACTGCGCAGCACATGTGCGCAGAAATGTGCAGGTGGCTGGTAGGTGGGTTAAAGGGACCCTCCCACCTTTAAAAAAGTTTATGAATTGGCATGAAAGTGATGTCGCTCGGTTCAGAAAGAGCGAAAACGAATATCTACCAAATTTCACCGAAAAATATTCACCGGTTTTCAAGATATTAGACTTTTACTTTTGTTTACTTTTTGGGATCTCCGCTGTTCCTAGCGACTTTATTTAAAAGTGCGGCATTTGTTGCGCGCAACGCAGCATATACCACCGCGTGCTACAAAACGTTTTAGTCAAACATTTAACGGATGTTCGAAAGCCTGATGACGTCATCAGATTTAAGTGCCTATACCAATACATTGTGGCACTTATTTGCACAGATGTCAAAATCAAACTCAAATTTCTTTGCGATGAAGTAATTGCTGGAGAAACGGTTTTCACGGCACTGATTTTCAAAGAACGTCCATCAAGATGGCTATCTCAACTCAAATCTAATGTTAAGGTGGGACAGTCCCTTTAAACTTTGGAGATGCGAATTTGGATGTCAGTTATAAAATTAATGGTTATGCCTTGTAGAGTAAGCTCTGCTGTTTTTTTGTAATTGCCTTTTTTATAATTGTAACCTACAATGCTGTTAGTTTCATTTTTATTTAAATGCTCGACCAGAATTTGCACTTGTTCATGCATGAATGGCTAAGTTTGGGGTGTTTATTCAACCCTGACTGCTCAAGTTTTTCAAAGGCACATGACACAGCACGGCTAGATCAGCTGGTACCTACCTGTTGACTATTTTTGTTTTTGGTGGTGATGTGTTTGCTGTTTGTCTTTTGCAAGGTGGTCAATGAAATAAAATAATGCATTATTTTGGAATGTTTCCTTGACAGAAGCCAGGAGCCGGATTGATGTGTGCTGGTGAATGAGATGGTTCAAAAGCATTATCTGATGTTTTTCAATGTACATAAGCCATAACATCCCTTTCATACGCTGAAGTTTTAATAGCTTCTCAGTCTCTGTCATTTTCCTGAAATATTGGTGTACAGTAGATAAGAGATATCAGTACCTTCTCAGAGGTACCTGCCTTCTGCTGGATGAATATTTAATTGGTTGGACGAAATGGACAGGTAGCCTTATGATAATGTAATGTGAAATCTTATTTCTATAAAACTTTGAAAATGAAGTTCTAATTATTCATATGTGCATACATTTTTGATGACTAAGAAAGTTTTCCACAAGAGTAGAAAATGTGGGAAAGTCTATCAAATAACACATTCTGAAGTCTCAATGCTGACAGAGTGCTGCCTCAAAGAATAACTGACTTGCTGGGTTACGAATATTTCTTTATTTTAATTTTCAAATGTAATGTACAATACATTGCAGTGAAATAACAAAATAGTGCAGTAAAATAGTATTGGCGACGATCAAACAACACGTGCGCCATTGATGTCTGCAAAAATTGCTACCAGATTGCTACCAAATCCGTGACGTCACCACGGCGCCTTTATTTCCCTAGTGAACCAACCTGAGTAGTAAAGTAATCTTGCCTACCTGGCCTACCTGGTATATAGGGCCTTGCCTATTGCTATGCGTCAATTTTTCAGCAGTTTTGATGGGATATAGTAATAGTTACCAACCAATTAGTGGGCATTATATAATCAATTATCAAGGTAGGAGTTTTTGGCGACCCATTCATCATTTATTCTTCTAGGGATTAGTTCCAGTTCACTTTCACGAAAGTCTTTTACAATTGATTTTGATTTATGATCTTAATGCTCAAAATGATCAGCAAAGAAAATTAAACCTTTTTATGAAAACGTATTTACTATATTTTAATATTGATATCGGAAGACGTATTCAGTTTTAAAAGAGGGAAATGACCCCTGCAAGGCACACATCCCTCAGCAATGACAATATCAATTTGTCTATAGCCTTGGTTTGGTGAGAGCCCCATAGGCGGCAGAACGAGGAGGGCACTGGGGCACTGTGCCCCCCTTTGATTTTATCATTTTAACATAAGCCCTATGGGTGATGGGTCTTTCCATTGGGTGTTGCATGGAAAGAATGGGACCAAAATTTGGCAGTGCCCTCCCCCTTAATTGAAGGTGTTCCGCCGCTACTGGAAAGCCCACCTTTGTTGTACCTGTCCATGGCTGTATAAATCTGGTGATCCATTACCAATTTAATTTTATGTTCATTTTGCAAGCTCTGTTCTGAAAACTCTTCATTCATTACAGAGTAGTCATTCATTTTTGAACAGCTACCTACATTAACATACATAGTGTGAGGCAGCGGTAGAAACTGATGACAGGTCTTGATAGTTAGTATCTAGTACCACCCCCATGTTGATTACAGGGGCTCTGCTACAGCTCCCATTGCAAGAAAAAATAGTACCTAAGAAGGATTCCTGTGCCAGCAAAAGTGGAAGACCCCAAGTGGAGGTCTTCCAGCAAGTATACCAGCAATGGGATCTCTAGTCAACACTTCTGTCACATCGGTAAGTTACTGCGCAGCAATTGCCGGTTCCCTGTCAGCACAGTGTTGGACTCCGCTTGGTCCGTCCCAGTTACAACAGTCCCGGGTTCGAGGCACGACGGGCGCCCGGTTTATGAGCCTTCTGGCTGGTATGGCTGAGGTTGGTGGTGGGCCGTAGCGAGGCGAAGTCAGCGAGGGGACCGGCGGACTCCCCCCCCCCCCTTCATATCTGAAGGGAGCACCGCTACCGTCAGCCCCTGGAAATGTCTGTTCCGTTGGACTAGTGGCACTCTGTTATCTCAGGTTTGTATAATGCTCAAGCCTCGCACTTGCATCAGATGCCTATTGGAACAGCACGTAGTTACTGTTCAAATCCCTTGGCTGGCTGGTTAGTCGGGCCACGGTCACTCATACAATGGACTGCTGGTGACAGAGGTCTGAGGTGCACCGCCGTCTCCCGCCGAGTGGAGCGGAATGGCCGGCTGGTGCCGCCCATCCTCCCCGTGTCACGTTTTCCTGGCCCGCCACCGCTCCCCGGGCGGTGTTTCACCCGGTGTTCGGTGTTTCCTATAGGTATCTTGGTTTCACCGACGCTGCCAGCGCGCTGCCAGCACACGTGGCAATTTGGGTTTGCATGGAAACATCAACAAGCCCATAGCTCCAACACTACCACAAGTGTGACGTCAGCTCGCGAAATGCGCTGGCAGCGTCGGTGAAACACCACTCCGACCGGCGGGGGCGGTGATGGCGCCTCCGCAGCAGGTAGGGGCGGGTCGAGCACAGCGGACGCCGGACGGGGAGACATCGCTCCACCGCCTGCCGACCGGCACGGACTCGTTCGGCCGGTCAGCCGGTTGCGTTATGAACTACATACTCGACGCAGAGTCACGAGTGACGGCATAACACACTTCCCTGACTGCCAGAACTCGCGTATGGCGACCAGCCTGGCCAGAAACCGCTCAACTTGACCCTTCATAGAGTCGAGATCACAGCTGTAACATCAAACATTTGCCCATTGCAATCATGGCCGTGTTTTACGGAGCGCTGCGCGCTGTTGGCGCTTTTGGTTTCATACTTGTTACACACTACCGTAGTATTGGAGGTATAGAGGTACGAAACACTCCGTGTCTCGTAGCGCAGCAGCTGCACGTGAAGCTGCTACAAATTTCGCGCCGTCACCTGTTTGACATTTATACAGGACTCACGAGACGTGCACCGACCCACTGCCGCGCTGTACCTATCTCTGCAGAAGCAGGAACCGTCCCTGTCATTTCCTCGTGGATTAACTATTTGTATTACCATTTTCTCACACGGTTGCCGTCCTGCCGGCATGTCGGACGGTGTGCCGGTGTTGTCACGCCGACTCGGTCTCGGGGCCGCGGCTGTCGGGACGTCCGATCCCTCTCAGCCGCCGCTGCAGTCTCTCTGTGTTCGGCCGGCACCGCGGCGCCGACGGCCGCGAGGGCCGACCGCGCCGATAGCTGGACGGGTGGCAACAGCCGGCGGCCGGCGCGCGGGCTTCGGTAACCGGCGCGCGGGCCTCGGTGACCGGCGCCGACCCTCCGTGACCGGGCTGCGGTGACCCGCCGCCGGAACAAAGACCTGTCGCGGACGGAGAGCGGGCCGGCGGCCGCGCGGCGCTGGAGCTGACCCGTCCCGGTGACAGCCGCTGGTCAGTGTCTGGATCAATGGCCGGACACTGGCCGACCCGGCAGACAGCCGCCCGACGCTGGGCCGGCCCTCCGCTCTTTTCAGCGCCGGCGGCTAGCCTCCGTACCGGCCTGGCTGCATATTTATAGCAGCACGTGGTAATAGATTACTGTGGCTGACAAATGGGCCGCGAAGCCCCGATATTATCTCGTGATGCCGCTGACCTGTCGGTCCTCCATCCACGACTCTCGTCTCTCACCGCGCGATGTCGATGGTGCTGAATCCAGTGCCGGCGGTGCCGATTACAGTAGCTGTGATTCTGAGACCAGTGCCGGCGGTGCTGATTCCAGTTACTGCGATACTGAAGTCACTAGTCAGTGCCGGCGATGTTAAGACCAGTGCCGGCGGGCCTGTCCTGTCCGGTCGGTGGGCGGCCCGTCGGTCGCCAGTCGTCTGGTCTCCAGTCCCCACCACCTGTCTCCGGCACGGTTCCTGCCGCGGACTGGCAGTCGCCCCCCCCCCCCCCCCCGGACCGCAGCAGGTCCGGCCCCTGACCACCGGCCACGACGTGGTTGTTTGCGTCCATGACGACTGCCGACCGCGGCGCCGGCGGCCGGGCTCGCTGTTTACGCCTGGGTCGGCGGCAGCGCGCCAGACAGCCGAGCTGTCACCGCCGGGGCCGCGGCAGCTCTGGCGTACCAAAGACGGGACCGAGAAACGGGACCGTCAGCTGCCGGCGAGGGCACGGAAACCGGAGAGCGGCCGGCTGGTCCGCGTCAGAGGAAGGTGCTTGCGAGCGGCCAGGCGCCGCGCCTGCCGGTGACCTGTCAGTCCGACGGTGGGCGCCGGTCGGTGACCTGTCAGTCCGGCGGTGGACGCCGGTCGGTGTCCTGTCAGTCCGGCGGTGGACGCCGGTCGGTGACCTGTCAGTCCGGCGGCCGGGCGCCAGCCAGTGACCTGTCGATGCCGTCGGCGCCGCTCTGTTTGACCCGGCGCAGCGGTGGCCGGTGACGAGAACGCTGCCGTCTGGCGGCTGCGGGGAGGGCCCGGTCCCGGGGTGACGCCGGTCCGGGCCGGTCCCCAGTTTGTCCGGCCGAGGTAGCACGGCGTGTCAGGCTGGGCGGGCCGGCGGCACGTGCCGCTGTTGCCGGCCCCGAGAACGGTGGCTGTGCGTTGCCTTCATCGGTCAGCGCGGCCGTGAGTGGCGTCTGCTGCTCCTGGCCAGCCGGCCGGTCCGTGTCGGCAGCAGGTCCGCCGTCCCCACCGGTCCTCGGCTCCGACCGAGTGTCCTCGGCGCGCCACGCCGGCGCCGCGTGGCTGGCGCCGCCGTCCGTCATGTGCGGGGCGCGGGCGGTGGACAGCGCGGCGCGCGCAGCTCGCGGACGCCGCTGACGAAAGCTGACCGCCGGCGCGCTCAGAGGTGTCGTCAGCTCACCGGCGGACCAGCGCGGCGCGTGCCAATGCCGCCCGGCAGCCTCTCCTGGGACATCTCCCGACTAGGAGATGTCCGGGGGACCGGGACCGGCGGCGCACCACAGTGGGGTGACGAGGGAGAGACGCCCAGTCTCTGAGAACGGCAGCCGGCTGTCGGTCCGGCCCGGGCCGCGGCGGCCGGCCGGTGGGGCGGGGCGGGGCGGGGAGTGGGACCGGTCGATGTGCGCCGCCGGCCGCCAGTCGGGCCTGAGCGGCCGCCGAGCGAGCAGTGCGGGGATGGTCGCGGAGCCGGAGACGTTGGCTGTCGGGCCGGGCCAGGCGCCGGCCGCGCCGCGCGGGTCGCCGCCCGCTCACCATCCAGACGTGAGTACTCGGAACGGCGGGGTGGCGCCCGGCCTGCCAGGTCGCCAGTCGCCACAGGGCAGTGTGCGGCCCTTGGTGTAGCGCTGAAGGTCGGCTGGTCCTCCGCCGTTGTGCCTCGTCTCATCTCGACGCCACTTGACAGATCCCTGAGGAGATGCCCGTCTGAATCGTGGTCGTGCTGGCCGATGCGGGTATTGTTAGCGAATAGCGAGACACTGACTGTTAACCAGTGACCGGCACAGACTGGGACGGGCTGGTGGGGCAGCTCCGGTCAGTCCCGCCGGGTTGATGGGGGCGGCTCTAGTCAGTCCCGCCGGCCGGCGCGGCGGTGGGGGCGGCGGGCCGGTGGAAAATAACCGGCCGCCCGGTCACCACTGGCGCTGTCGCCCAGACGGCTCGCTATCGGTCCAGAACATTCCAGATAAACATCAGACCGCACCGGCCGGCGCTTCTGTGCCGCGCCGCGCCGCCGGCCCCGGGTAGGACTGGCCACAGTGTCCTCTGTTGGACTGGACTAGGACTGAATGGTGTCATTTGACCTGTGTTGACCGGTTGGTGTCCTGTGCCGACTGGACGGTGCCCTCTGTTAACTAGACGGTGTCCTCTGTAACAGAGGACACCGTTAACTAGACGGTGCCCTGTGTGGACCGAACGGTGCCCTATGTGGACCGAACGGTGTGCTGTGTTGACTGGACGGTGTTGTGGGTTAACTGGACGGACGGTGTCCTGTGTTGACTGGACGGTGTCCTCTGCTAACTAGACGGTGCTATGTGTGGACCGAACGGTGTGCTGTGTTGATTGGTTGGTGTCCTCTGTTAACTAGACGGTGTCCTGCGTTGGCCGAACGGTGTCCTCTGTTAACTAGACGGTGTCCGCTGTTAACTGGACGGCGTCAATCCCCGGCTGGGTCGTTTTCGTTTACCCGGTCGCTAGGCGCCGGCGGCCCCTGCGTCCGGTCGGCACCACAGCTCACACGTCGTCGTCGGCAGCGCGGCCGGTCCTCCGCTCAGGAACCGTCCCGCCGCGCTGCGCAGGTCGCGGAGGACCGAGCAGTCTCGAACGCCGGAGCTGGCAGAGTCGTCTCGGCGTTATGTAATGCCGGGCCGCCGCGCAGTAGGCTGGCCAGGAGGGCCGCGATGGACTGGCCACTGTCCAGTGCGGGAGCAGCACGGGAGCTCCGGACCCCGGCTCCGGCCGTGTTGGGTTATAGGTGTACAGGCGCCACTGCCCAGTGCGGGAGCTCTGGGCCCCGGCTCCGGCCGTGTTAGGTTATAGGTGCAGGCGCCACTGCCCAGTGCGGGAGCTCTGGGCCCCGGCTCCGGCTGTGTTAGTAGGTATAGGCTGAGCACTGGACACATGGACGCCATGTCGATCCGAGAGCAGGCCGCGGACGGCGGCGGGAATACGCACGTCTCCCGAGCAGCACTAGATATTCCCGTTAGCAGAGGACATGATAGGGTCTCCCGGAGGCATGCTACCTTCTACCGCCCTTCGCCCTTCCCCCTTCCCCTTTCCCCCTTCCCCCGGCTACCGGCACCCGTAAATCAGCCGCAAGGCCGACTCGCTATGGAGTGGTGCGATCCAAGATTACGGTGCGATCGGCACTTTTTTTTTTTACTTTACAGCCATATGTTGCTAAGTGATAAGTCGTCAGTGGGAGAAGTGGCTCACAGTTAGTGACCTGCGCAAGATTTTTATGAATGTTCATCTCATTGTGTCATAAGTATGGAATTCTTAAAGAAAATATCATTTTTTTTTTTTAGAAAATGTCATTTTGACCGCATCAGGGAGAACCAGCACACTTCGTGTGCCCCAGGAGACGAGGCACTCTGTTTTCCAGCACGCCGCTGGTTTTAGCCCGTTTGTGTCGCAAACATGTTTGTTTGCGCCGCCAGGCACTGTCGCGCCCTATCTTATCTGCGACAACCAGGAGCGCCTTATCGCTGGCGCCTGAGCGGGGTTCACCGACCGGACTGAGCGTGCCCGGGTCCCCGGCAGACGGAGCGAGCGTTCCCGGGTCCCCGGCAGACGGACTGAGCGTTCCCGGGTCCCCGGCAGACGGACTGAGCGTCCCCGACAGACTGACCTGAGCAGGGGTCACCGACAGACGGACTGAGCGTGCCCGGGTCCCCGGCAGACAGACTGACCTGAGCCAGGGGTCACCGATAGACAGACTGAGCGTCCCCGGGCCACCGACAAACAGACTGACCTGAGCAGGGGTCACCGACAGACGGATTGAGCGTGCCCGGGTCCCCGGCAGACGGACTGACCTGAGCCAGGGGTCACCGACAGACGGACTGAGCATCCCCGGGTCCCCGGCAGACGGACTGACCTGAGCCAGGGGTCCCCGACAGACGGACTGAGCTGAGGCAGGGGTCACCGGCAGACAGACTGACCTGAGCCAGGGGTCACCGGCAGACAGACTGACCTGAGCAGGGGTCACCGACAGACGCACTGACCTGAGCCAGGGGTCACCGGCAGACAGAGGGACCTGAGCAGGGGTGGGGTCACCGATAGACAGACTGAGCGTCCCCGGGCCACCGACAAACAGACTGACCTGAGCCAGGGTCACCGACAGACGGACTGAGCATCCCCGGGTCCCCGGCAGACAGACTGACCTGAGCCAGGGTCACCGACAGACGGACTGAGCATCCCCGGGTCCCCGGCAGACAGACTGACCTGAGCCAGGGGTCACCGACAGACGGACTGAGCATCCCCGGGTCCCCGGCAGACAGACTGACCTGAGCCAGGGGTCACCGACAGACGGACTGAGCATCCCCGGGTCCCCGGCAGACAGACTGACCTGAGCCAGGGGTCACCGACAGACAGACTGAGCGTGCCCGGGTCCCCGACAGACGGACTGAGCATCCCAGGGTCACCGGCAGACAGACTGAGCTGAGCCAGGGTCACCAACAGACAGACTGCCCTGAGCCAGGGGTCTCCGGCAGACACTCTGACCTGAGCAGGGGTGGGATCACCGACAGACGGACTGAGCGTCCCCGGGTCCCCGACAGACGGGCTGAGCGTCCCCGACAGACTGACCTGAGCAGGGGTCACCGGCAGACAGACTGACCTGAGGCAGGGGTCACCAACAGATGACTGACCTGAGCCAGGGGTGCGGTCACCGGCAGACAGACTGACCTGAGCAAGGGTCACCGGCAGACAGAGGGACCTGAGCCAGGGGTCCCCGGCAGACAGACTGACCTGAGCAAGGGTCACCGGCAGAAAGAGGGACCTGAGCCAGGGGTCACCGACAGACAGAGGGACCTGAGCCAGGGGTCCCCGACAAACTGACCTGAGTCAGACGTGACCATGACTGGAACCGCCACCGTGGGTCCCGCCCAGACTGACCTGAGCCTGACTTATGTGTTCCCCGAATACCCGACATACCTGTCCTTGACCGTGCCGTGTGACCTGTGTACCGTGCAGTGTACCCTGTGTACCGTGCAGTGTGACCTGTGTACCGTGCAGTGTACCCCCCCCCCCCTGACCGGGCCGTGTGACCTGTGTACCGTGCCGTGTGACCTGTGTACCGTGCAGTGTACCCGTCTCTGACCGTGCCGTGTGACCTGTGTACCGTGCAGTGTAGGCACCCGTCTCTGACCGTGCCGTGTGACCTGTGTACCGTGCAGTGTACCCGTCTGACCGGGCCGTGTGACCTGTGTACCGTGCAGTGTACCCGTCTCTGCCCGGGCCGTGTGACCTGTGTACCGTGCAGTGTACCCGTCTGACCGGGCCGTGTGACCTGTGTACCGTGCAGTGTACCCGTCTCTGACCGTGCCGTGTGACCTGTGTACCGTGCAGTGTACCCGTCTCTGACCGTGCCGTGTGACCTGTGTACCGTGCAGTGTACCCGTCTGACCGGGCCGTGTGACCTGTGTACCGTGCCGTGTACCTGTCTCTGACCGTGCCGTGTGACCTGTGTACCGTGCAGTGTACCCGTCTGACCGTGCCGTGTGACCTGTGTACCGTGCAGTGTACCCTCCCCTGACCGGGCCGTGTGACCTGTGTACCGTGCCGTGTGACCTGTGTACCGTGCAGTGTAGGTACCCGTCTCTGACCGTGCCGTGTGACCTGTGTACCGTGCCGTGTGACCTGTGTACCGTGCCGTGTACCCGTCTCTGACCGGGCCGTGTGACCTGTGCGCCGGCAGCTGACGCCGCTACCGCCGCCGCCGCCGGCCACCGAGCCGGGCGCCGGCGCGGACCCTGCGCAGCGCTCGATGGCCGCGCACCCCGAGTACCTGGCCGTGTTCTCGCGCGCACACCACTTCCTGATGCGCGGGGACGGCCCGCTGGCGTTCGACATGAGACACTACGTGGCCATCATGGTGAGTAGTGGCCGGTGGAGCGGCACCGTGCTCTGCTCGGTCCCCGCGGTAGCGCCGCCGGAGGCGGTCCGACTGCCGCGTGCTGTCCTCTGACTCTGTGAGAGGCCTCTGGGACCCGGGCGCCACTGCCGCGTGCTGTCCTGTGACTCTGTGAGAGGCCACTGGGACCCGGGCGCCACCGCCGCAGCCCGGTGTGAGCGGTGACGTGTAGCGGCCCCAGCAACTGTCGCACCGAGCCGAGCCCGAGTGCGCCTAACGGTGCTCGGTGTGCAGGCAGTGCTCGGCTCAATTGCGCTCATTTGGGACGACCTACTATGGACGTCAAACCCCTTGAGACCCCACTTTTTTGCGATACTTTTTAAATGCGTCAACTCTTGTTGACAATATTCTGGCAATGTGTGTTTCAGAACCTGCCGAAACTTTTATTACTAAGGTATTTTGACGCCAAACGATTATGAAAGGTACTTCTCATTCACTCGTAATGCTAAGGTCAATTCAGGCCCGGGCAGAGGCTTGCGCTCGGCCACACTCGAGCCCCGCCACCAGCGCCATCTGCTCTTAATGTCATCTACCAGCGCCCACTACCGCTACCAGCTACCGCCCACTATCAAGCCTGAATGGAGCGAGAGACGCGAGTGACCGATCGCCGGGCAAGCAGCGCCGGAGGGGTAGGGCGGAGCTTAGCGCTGACGTCATTACGTGGCTCCGCCCCATGAGCGCGTAGCCTCTACCCAAACAGCAGATTCGTTCCGTGAAATTTAACATTACGAGTGAATGAGAAGTACCTTTCATAATAGTTTGGCGTCGAAATACCTTAGTAATAAAAGTTTCGGCAGGTTCTGAAACACACATTGCCAGCATATTGTCAACGAGAGTTGACGCATTTAAAAATTATCGCAAAAAAGTGGGGTCTCAAGGGGTTTGACGTCCATAGTAGTTGGTGCGCGGGCGAGGCTGTACGCCACAGCGCGGCGGCCGGTGCCGCGGGTGGCTCACAGAGCGCGCCGGCCGGCGCGGTGGCTTACAGCCGACCGTTCGGTCACGCTGATGGCCCGGCCCGACCCGGCCCGGCTCTGTGCCCGGTGCTCGGGCAGCACCAGTTGGCGAATGTTTTTTCAGAACCGCTCGGCGGGCCCTCCCGGTTTATGCATCTCTGCGCTCCCCTCCTCGTCTCTGCGCCCTCCCCTCCTCGTCTCCGTGTCCTCCCCTCCCGGTCTCCTCGTCCTCCCACTCCCAGTCTCTGCGCCCGTCCTCCCCTCCCAGTCTCCGCGTCCTCCTCTCCCAGTCTCCTCGTCCTCCCCTCCCAGTCTCCGCGTCCTCCCACTTCCGGTATCTACGTTCCCCTCCCCTGCGCGCCCTTCCACTCTCTGCGCCCCCCCCCCCCCCCCCCAGTATCTGTGCGCTCTCCCAGTCCCTGCCCGCCGCGCGTTCCCGCCTCTTCCCGCAGTCGTGACCGCTTCCTCCGACCGCCATCAGCTGGTGCGGCCGGCGCAGTCAGCTGTTGGCGCCCACAATACGCAACCGAAGTGTGACGTCATGACTAGTGGCTGGGGCATAATCAGCTGACGGCCCTGTGTTAAAGCAATGGGACGAAATTTTATCAGCATTTTTAGAACAAACTGGACCTAGTTATATAGTTTGGGGGCCAGTTTCTAGGTAAACTGAGTATATTCTATTTTTCTACGCCCAAAAAATGCTATGTTTCAAAGCGAAAAGGACCGAATTTCGCGAAATTGTTACGGGCGGCGAACTTGACGCACCAAATACATGACCTTGAGATGCGAACTGTGACCGCGTCAGGAGGATTTTGATGCGTAAGGTTTGACATATTTGAGTTTGAGCTGGATAAATATTTTTTATTTGTAAAAAGCAAAGGAGAAAATTCACCATATAAGTTATTTTGAAAATATTTTGTATTTTAAATCCATTATTTTAAACCTCTTGATCTAAAATGTTTTGTATTTCTGCGTCAACTTCGCCGCCAATTAGGTTTTCACGAAATTTTGTGCTTTGCGTTATTAGATTTTGCAATATTTTTTCATAGAAAAATAGATCATACATCGTTGTCCTAAATTCAGCTACTAAAACTATCTAACTAGGTCCAGTTTTCTTGGGAAAGATCGGCAAAATATTGCCCCATTGCTTTAGCACGGGGCCGTCAGCTGATTATGCCCCAGCCACTTATCGTGACGTCACGACTTCGGTTGCGTATCAGCTGTTTTCGGTTTCCGCCCGGCTGGCCGCGGTCCGTGGCCGCCCGTTCCCTCACTGGCTGGGGGGGGGGGGGGGGACCACCCGGGGATCGCGGAGGCAGCAAACAGCCCCCCCCCCCCCCGTGTGCGTACAGGGTGGTGTTTCACCGGTGATAGCAGCACATGGCAGCACGCTGCTATTCCACTTCGCGAGCTGACGTCATACTTGTGGTAGTGTTGGAGCAATGGGCTTGTTGATGTTGACGTCTCCATGGAAACCCAATTTGACACGTGTAATAGCAGCGTGCGGCTATCATCGGTGAAACGCCACCCAGGGCAGCCGCGCTGCCGTACCTGAGCTTATGCGAGGCCAATAGTGTTGGCTTCAACACTGAGCTGCGGCAAATGGGACTGGAGCCGTGTGTGTGTGACCCCATATAGCCTCGTTGCTGGTGCGCCCTAAAACACCACCATACACCGTGTGTGTGACCTGCCGGCTGGGCCGGGCCTGGGTCTGTCAGACTGCCGGCTGGGCCTGGGTTGGTCAGACTGCCTGGGTCTGTATGTAGACTGCCGGCTGGGCCTGAGTCTGTCAGACTGTCGGCTGGGCCTGGGTTGGTCAGACTGCCGGCGGGACCTGGGTCTGTCAGACTGCCTGTGTCTGTGGGAGACAGTGAGCCGGACTGTGGCACAGTGAGCCGGACCGTGGCACAGTGAGCCGGAATGTGCCTCAGCACAGTGAGCCCAGCTGCGGCACAGTGAGCCGGACTGTGGCACAGTGAGCCGGACCGTGGCACAGTGAGCCGGACCGTGGCACAGTGAGCAGGACTGCGGCACAGTGAGCAGGACTGCGGCACAATGAGCAGGACTGCGGCACAGTGAGCCGGGCTGTGCCTCAGCACAGTGAGCCCAGCTGCGGCACAGTGAGCCGGGCCGCGGCACAATTCGCCGGGCGGTGCGGGGACTGAGGTACGGGCCGGGTGCTGCTCACTGCCGCCGAGACGTCGTCTCGCGTGTCTGGCCGTCGGTCCGCTGTCGTGCCTGGTTCGGTGTTGGTCCGACGCGGCTCCTCTCCGCGGGCGGAGGGCTCCGCTGCGCGGCCCGGTCGCCGGCGGACCTTGACCGCCATGCCGGACGTGTTTTTGCGGCGCCAGAGCGGCGGGCTGTCGGCTGTCCGCCGGCTGTCGCCTGTCCTGCTCGGTGGAACGACGCCCCGAGCAGCTCGGCCGGCCGGCGGCGGCCGCCACAACAGGCCCGTTTGGCGGCGGGGAGGGCAGCGGGGTACGGCGGAGAGAGCGGCGGGGCACGGCGGAGAGAGCACGGGTACGGCGGAGAGAGCGGCGGGTACGGCGGAGAGAGCGGCGGGGTACGGCGGAGAGAGCGGCGGGTACGGCGGAGCGCCGCCGGCCAGCGGCGTCCGTTGCTGTGCGCGGTGCTCGCCGTCCGCCTGTCTGGTTGCGGGGCGGCTGCAGCGAGCGGGGCGCCGGACGCCGGCCAGCCGCTCGCAGACGCCGCGCCGGCCAGCGCCTTTGTCTCGCCCCAGCCCCAGTGAGAGCGAGAGTGGGGCGGTGCGGCGCGCCGTGGCCTGAGCTCTCGTGTCGGCGGCGGTTTATCGGCGATGGGATTGGCGCTGGATGCACGGTCCGAGTGCCGACGGCGGCGGCTCCCCACTCGCAGTCGGCCCGGTCCCGGTACCGACGGCGACTCCCCATTCGCAGTCGGCCTGGAGCCGGCGGCCGGCGGCGGCGCTTGTTGCCGGGCGGCGGCCGGCGCTCCTCTCAAGGTCACTGGACAAAGGGAGCTGCCGCGTGCGAGCGCACCGCCCACCGCCCACCGCTGGCCGGCGCAGCGCGGCCGGCGGTGGGGCGCCGCCCGCGGCTGCCGGCGGGGAGCTCTGCCTCCTCGGCGCGGCGGTCCGGCGGCTCACGCCCGCGCCAGGCCGGGGAGCCGCAGTGGACGGTCGCTGTCGGCTCGGTGGACCCAGACCGCCGTCTCTATCCCCCGCGACCGGCCGGACCAGAACCCCGGGCCGCGACCGCCCATCTCGACAGGTGCTGTCCTAACGTCCCGACCGGCGACCGGCGCGGCTCAGCCTGGCCAGCGAGCGCCCCGGACAGCCGCCAGTGTATAGCACCGCCGTCCCCGACCTCCAGTGACTTCCGCGTGGAGCTGCCGTCGTCCCGGCTGGAGCGTCGGGCCATGTCCTGAGACCTCCAGCGCGGCCGAGAGCAGTGGGGAGCCGCCCGCCGACGCCGCACCCGCAGCAGGGACAGAGGCGGCTCCTCAGTCCCGCGGCGGCTTCAGGCGCACATCGTGCCGACTGAGTGGGCTGGGCAGATGAAGGTTTGACCTGGAGGAGCTTTATCGAGGGTCGCGATCGAGTAAGGACGCCCCCTAGCTGCAGAACCGGGATAAAGGACGCGTCCTAGTTGGAGGACGGGCCAGGTCTCTGCGGCGGCCGTGGGAGAGACGCCGCCGGCTGCCGGGTCACCAGCTGCCGGGCCGGGCCGACCGGTACCGGTCCGGCCGGCCGCTCACCTGATCCGGTGGCGCCACCGGTGACGTCACGCCGCCGCCGCGGCTGCGTGTGTGACGTCACGCCGCCGCCGCCGCGGCTGCATGTGCGTGAAAGGCGGTGGGCGAGAGCGGCGTGTGTACCGCGTACCACCGTGGTCCGGCCGGCTAGAGTCCTGCCGCTGCCGCCGGCCCGCCCGTGTCGGTAGACAGGGTGCAGCGGCCGGCCCGCCCGTGTCAGTATAGGGTACAGCGGCCGGCCCGCCCGTGTCGGTAACTCGGTAGACAGGGTACAGAGGCCGGCCCGCCCGTATCGGTAGACAGGGTACAGCGGCCGGCCCGCCCGTGTCGGTAGACCGGGTGCAGCGGCCGGCCCGCCCGTGTCGGTAGACAGGGTGCAGCGGCCGGCCAGACCATCCCTCCCGGCAAACGGTGACACGCTGACGACGAGCGCCGAAAACCAGCCACAATGGCTCCATTCTCCACAGGATAATAATACAAAGTGTTAGCTCACCGCCGCAAAGCAGCCCGTCGCTTCCAGCGAGAGCAGAAAACATGTTATTGTGAGCCCGCATAGCAACACGCCGAAAATAGTCTTGCAGCTGTGTGCTCACAGAGAGGAAGTGAGAGCTCGTTATCGGGGCCACATCCGACCGGCCGAGGGGCGGCTCCAGCGGCCAGTCGGACCTTATTTGGTCAGTGGTCACACGGCATAGATCTGTGTCGGACCGTCAGGTCAGACCAGTATTGCAGTCTGACCGCGCGCGCGCCACGGCGCCAGTCCGGACCGCTCCGTCAGTCCACAGACTGGCAGTCAGACTGTCCGATCTGCACCGACAGGCTGTCTGGCAGACCGACACGTGACACAGCGCCAGGAGCGTTGGGATGTAATGGAGGTTATGCTGAATTCGTATACGGGACGGTGGGAGGTGCTGCGTCGAACGGCGGAGCGGTCCTGCGCCGCCGAGTGGCGCTGGTAGATAGATAGATAGATAGATAGATAGATAGATAGATAGATAGATAGAATAAATTTATTTCATTAATCAGAACACGTACAAAAGAATTATCGCCAATTGGTGCAAAAGCAACCTTGCTTAAATCGCAGCACCTTTCGGCTCTTAGGTACGTGCTATGCTTTATGGTGGGTGGAGGTGGCCGACGGGCGTCCTATTCCACTCATCAAGGAGGTGGTCAGGCGTTTCACGCGCTGCTGGCGCGCCTCCTGTCGGTGCCGCCTGTAGCGGACGGCGCGAGGCAAACTCGTCGCCGGCCGGCGTTTGTCGGTCTGTGCTCGCTGGCCGGGCGTTGACTGCTGGTCCGGTGTTTGTCGGTCTGTGCTCGCTGGCCGGGCGTTGACTGCTGGTCCGGTGTTTGTCGGTCTGTGCTCGCTGGCCGGGCGTTGACTGCTGGTCCGGTGTTTGTCGGTCGCTGCTCGCTGGCCGGGCGTTGACTGCTGGTCTGTTTGTTAGCCTGGAAATGCTCGGCGGCCATGGATCCAAAACTGCCGACCAGCCGTTTGCTGTGCCTTGTGCCGGCCGCCACTGCCAGCTAGTCGTCAGTGGTACCAGTCGCCGGACGCCTTTGCAAACCGCCAATTTTTGGGTCGCCACACGCACCTGGGGCCGAGGAGGCCAGCCCACGTGACTGGTCTACGGCAGTACTCAGCAGTCTGACCGGGTCACGGCAGCAGTCTGCCCGGGAGTCTGCCCGGGTCACGGCAGCAGTCTGCCCGGGAGTCTGACCAGCCCCGCGGTGACGTCTCTCGGTCGGGGGAGGCCTTCTGACGGCGCTGGCCGTCGCCGAGTGTTGTCCGTCGCCGACCCTGCGCCGCACCCGGAGCGGGGCTCGGCGCCGGGCGAGAGCGCGCGCCGAGAGCACCGACGGACGGCGGCGGCTGGGCGGAGACGTGAGGCCGGGGAGTGACGGCAGAGCGCCGGGACGGTGGCGGCGGAGCGCCGGGACGGTGGCGGCAGAGCGCCGGGACGGGGGCGGCAGAGCGCCGGGACGGGGGCGGCGGAGCGCCGGGACGGGGGCGGCAGAGCGCCGGGACGGGGGCGGCGGAGCGCCGGGACGGGGGCGGCGGAGCGCCGGGACGGGGGCGGCGGAGCGCCCGGTGTCCCGCCGGCCAGCCGGGACGGGGGCGGCAGAGCGCCGGGACGGGGGCGGCAGAGCGCCGGGACGGGGGCGGCAGAGCGCCGGGACGGGGGCGGCAGAGCGCCGGGACGGGGGCGGCAGAGCGCCGGGTGTCCCGCCGGCCAGCCGGACCGAGCGGCGCCGCGGCGCTGGGCCGGCGCCGGTGACAACCATTAGTGCGCCGCACGTTATAAATGATGGTCGGCCGGGCAGCGACAATGGCAGGCGGCGGTGGCGCAGCGTGGTTCGCCCGAGTCGCACAGAGCCAGTGGCCTGGATCGGCGCGGCCCCTCGCCGGGCTGCAGCCGTCGCCGCCGCCGCCGCCGCCGCACCGTTACGCCGCTCGTGAATATGGGATTATGCAGATGCGGGAGTGTGGCCGAGCGGCCGAATCTGGCGCCGGTGTAGTGGTCATGGGCTGTCTACCTGGCCCCAGGAGACCTGACAATGACTGTCCACAGGAGTCGCTCAGTCGGCCGCCCTCGGACGAGCCGCACTGGAGACACACAGCTGCCGTCGGCTCAGGATAGCGGTTAGCCTTTGGTACGGCAGCCCGGCATCCCTCACTGACGGCCCCAGTACCGCGCTCCTTCCGAGGCTGCTGTTTGCGGGGGCTGGTCGACCCGCCGTGCGCCCTGCTGCAGGCGCGGCTGCCGCCAGTCGCCGGAGGAGCCGGTCCTTCAGGCCCGCTCGGGGCAGCTGAGGGCCGGCCGGCAGCGGACAGGGGCGCCGCTCGACGCCACGCGCCGGGCGCCGTCCACACTCGGTCAGCCACCAATGGCACTGCTGGCATGTGTAGTAGGCAGCACGAAGCAGTCAGGGTGTTCTGCTCAGGGCGCTTGTTTACAGTGTGTCTGGCGCGCCCTGTGCCGGTCGGCGGCCCCCGGGGTCCACAGGCCGTTTTTGCCGGCTGTCGGCAGGGCGGCGGGTGCCGGCCGTGGAATGTTTGGCGGCATGGGGAGCCTGTAACGGTGCGCGGGTCGGACCGGCCGGCCGGGCCCCCACTGAGCGTCGTCGGCCGACGGCCCCGGGCACCGGGCCGCCGGCGCTGCTGTTTTGACAGTGCTCCGGCTGAGTGTATACACAGCTGTGAGGCTGCAGCGTTGCACAGTGCGCTGCGGCCGGCACGCCACACCAACGGCGCGGGCCCTGCTCGGGATGGGCTCTGGCCCTGCTCGGGATGGGCTCTGGCTCTGCTCGGGATGGGCTCTGGCCCTGCCCGGGGTGGGCTCTGGCCCTGCTCGGGATGGGCTCTGGCCCTGCCCGGGGTGGGCTCTGGCCCTGCTCGGGATGGGCTCTGGCCCTGCTCGGGGTGGGCTCTGGCCCTGCTCGGGGTGGGCTCTGGCCCTGCTCGGGATGGGCTCTGGCTCTGCTCGGGGTGGGCTCTGGCCCTGCCCCGACTGGGCTCAGAATGGGCGACGAAGGGTGGCGCCCGAAGACCGTTCATATCGCGGTGCAGAGGGAGCTAGGGAGTAGGGGCACTGCGCCGCTGGGGAGGGGTGGGGAGGGCGTGTGTCCTGTGCCTGTCTCTCACCGCCTACTTTGTCAGTGGCCTGGCTATGGCCTGGCCTCAGACATCAGCTGAGGCCCCCGTGTCCGGCAGACCGGTCCGTGTGTCCCCCCCCGTGTCCTCCCGTGTCCGGGCCATGCCCCCCGTGTCCGGCAGACCGGGTTGTGTCCAACAGACCGGTCCGTGTGTGCCCCCGTGCCCCCCCCCCCGTGTCCCCCGTGTCCGACTGACCGGCCCGTGTGCCCGCAGGCGGTGGGCCGCCACCAGTGTCACGTGCTGCTCGACCAGCTCAAGGAGGAGTTTGTGGCCAGCGGCGGCGAGCAGCGCTGGCTCGACGGACTGCAGCACGTGCCCAAAAAGCTCTCCGACCTCAGCGAGGTGAACAAGCTGCTGGCGCACCGGCCGTGGCTGCTCAACAGGTCGCACATCGAGCGGCTGGCGCGCGGCCGCGACAACTGGAGCCTGGGCGAGCTGCTGCAGGCGCTCACCGTGCTGGCCCACTACCACGCGCTCTGCTCGTTCGTGCTCGGCTGTCGCGCGCTGGACGCGGACGGCGCCGCCGACTCGGAGACGGAAGGTGAGGCCGCCGCCGCCGCCGCCGCCGCCGCCGCTGGGTCCCTTCCCGGGCAGGGACCGTCCCGGCTGGGTCCCCCGACCCCTTACCCCGGACCAGCCACCCCGCTAGGCTGTGTGAGTGCAGCCTCCTCACGGGCCAGGCTTTAGATCCATATAGACAAGGTGTATAGTGCAGATAGACAAGGATCCTGGGCTGGTCAGCAGAGAACAGTTCTGCGCCGGTACAGCGGCGGCCCGGGAGTGCGCCCTGTGTGCCAGCGGTCGGCGCCAGCAGTCGCCGAGCAGTGGCACACCGACCCAGCTGCCGGGCCGGGTCCGGCGGCCGGCCGGACGGACAAGCATCGGCGGCTCCCGGCATATATCTTACCCTCGCCGTTATACCATTTGTGGTTAACGGCGAGGGTAAGATGCAGCAGCAGCCTTTCAAAAATCTTATATTCGCTGTAACTGTTATACCATTTGTGGTTAGAAGTTCGTTCCCCAGAGCAGAGCTCTGATTGTGTTCTGTTTTCCACCGTCATCGTGGTCCTACCGCTGCTTCTGATACTTTGTTCACCAACCGGCTCATATCGCTGAGCCAACTTCAGTTTATCGGCCGTTATAGGCCGGCTAAATGCGTGAGCTTTGATTGGCTGTGCAGTGTGCAGTGTGCCTAGGCGTGTCGTCACCGCTGACAGTCTGCTGCTGTCTCCTGCTGACCGTTCCGTGTCCGGGTATCCGCCAGGGCTCACCCCGTGTCCGGGTATCCGCCAGGGCTCACCCCGTGTCCGGGTATCCGCCAGGGCTCACCCCGTGTCCCGGTGTCCACCAGGGCTCACCCCGTGTCCGGGTATCCGCCAGGGCTCACCCCGTGTCCGGGTATCCGCCAGGGCTCACCCCGTGTCCCTGTATCCGCCAGGGCTCACCCCGTGTTCCGGTATCCGCCAGGGCTCACCCCGTGTTCCGCTGTCCGACAGGGCTCACCCTGTGCCCCGGTGTCCATCAGGCTTGGCTCCGTGCCCCTGTGTCCCCGGTGTCCGCTGCTGACCGTTCGCTGTGCCCGCTGTGTCTGTTGCTGCCCGTTCCCTGTGTCCCCCTGGTGTCCGTTGCTACCCGCTCCCTGTATCCTCGGTGTCCATTGCTACCCGTTCCCTGTGCCCCTGTGTCCCCGGTGTCCGTTGCTGACTGTTCCCTGTGTCCGCTGCAACCCGATCCCTGTGTCCGCTGTGCCCGCTGCTACCCGTTCCCCTGTGTCCGCTGTGTCCGCTGCTGACCGTTCCTTGTGCCCGCTGTGCCCGCTGTGTCCGCTGCTGACCGTCCCGTGTCCCCGTGTCCCCGTGTCCGCCAGGCCCGGCGCGGTCGTCGCCGGGCGCCGCCGAGCCGTCCGAGTGCGCCTCCGGTCCGCCGTCGGACGGCGCGCCCGTCCGCCAGCTGATGCAGAAGATGCGCTCCCTGAGCGAGCAGCGCCAGTCGGCCGGCCAGCTCACCCCCGAGCAGAAGAACGTCATCTACGAGGCGGTGGACTCTGGCGGCGTGGTGGCCGACCGGCCGGCGCCGCGGCCGCCGCGACACGACATCGACCGCTTCGTCGAGGACGCCGACTTTGCGTACGAGGACTTTAGCCGTCGCGGCGAGGGGAGCAGCGTGCCGACGTTCCGCGTGCAGGACTACAGCTGGGAGGACCACGGGTTCTCGCTGGTGAACCGGCTGTACTCTGACGTGGGCGTGCTGCTGGACGACAAGTTCCGCACGGCCTACCAGCTCACCTACCAGACAATGGGCTCGTTCCGCGCCGTGGACACGGGCCTGTTCCGGCGCGCCGTCTGGAGATATATCCAGTGTCTGTACGGCATCAGGTGAGCCGGCCGCCGAGCAGTGGTCATCGACTGCTGACTGACCACTGGTCACTGATCACCGGTCACTGACTGATGATCACTCGTCACTAACAACTGGTCACTAACTACTGGTCACTGACACTGGTCACTAACTACTGGTCACTGACATGCTGGTCACTAAATACTGGTCATTAACTACTGGTCACTGACACTGGTCACTGACAACTGGTCACTGACACTGGTCACTGACACTGGTCACTGACACTGGTCACTGACACTGGTCACCGACCACTGGTCACTGACAACTGGTCACTGAACACCGGTGGCAGCGCACAGGAATCTGTGACGTCTGCCTTTAACCCTATTCCTGGCGGGGGGGGGGCCTCAGGAGCCCCCCCCCCCCTGAGGTTTTTTGGTTATTTCTCCCAAACGCGTTGAGCTAGGAAGCTCAAATTTTCTGACTTTTCTCAAAAGGCTTCTACGCATCATGTCTGAAAATTTTGAGTTTATCTGACCTCAGGTCAGGTCACCAGAGGCGGTTTGGTGACCCTACCTCAGAAAAGTTTGCAATCACGCCAGAGCTAGAGTTTTTGACCGATCAATTTCTTCTCTTCAGGCTTTAGTTAGGGTACCAGTATGTGCAATTTGTATATCTCGGAATTTTGATATCGGTGACCTAAGGTCAGGTCAGTTTCGCGACCTCCCCATTATAAGTCAATGGGGGAAAAATCAACTCCCTGTTTTTACCACTAAAACGGGTCGGAATGGCCCCATATACCATACATGACTTCATATACGATCAACCTTCACTACCTTGAGGTCTGTTTTGCTGTTGGGCAGCTGTGAGGTCATGTGACGTCATCAAAGGTCACCAAAGGGTTTTGGCCAATAACTCCGTACAGGAACAAGATACAGACGCGTGGATGGTCTCATTGTGTTCAGCTCGTCAAGACGCATCGAATGATATACATGATGACCTCGAGGTCACGTGACCTGAGGTCAACCTTTGACCTTGACCTTTCGAGGTCAACATATATATCATTCGATGCAGATTGACGAGAGGATCACGATGATGCCCTTAGTTTGTTCCTATCTTGACTAATTCGAAAGTTATTCGAGAAAAACTCTCTCCATATCTAGCGCCGCCATTTTGACTTTTTCGACCCCTGTGACGTCATCTTTGACCTGACCTGAAAATGACCTTTGTAAAAATTGTAGATCTTGACCGTGCGTATCCGATGCCGTTTACCGCTTGTCGCTATCTTGCTTCGTTCTCGAGATCTCAGGGGGGGGCCGAATCGGCCCCCCCCCCCCCGCCAGTTTCTTGTCCCGGCGTAGCCCGCCAGGAATAGGGTTAATTAACCCGCGCCCAAGTGTGGGGGGGTGTTTGAACACACACGCCCCCCCCCCTGCGGTTTTTCGCAGATATCTCAAAAACGGCGGCGCTCCGCGCCGCCGTTTTTGGCACTCCTGTTTGTACATCTTTTCCGCACATGCTGTGAAAATTTCAGACCCAGGTCACCTTAGGTCAGGTCACCAGGTCACGCCAAGTGACCTCACCTCAGAAAAAAAATGAGAATGCTCGTCATAGCTACACCGATTAATCGATTGCTTTGAAACTTGCAGCGATTGATTAGAGCAGGGGTCGGCAAATGGTGGGGCATGCCCCCTTTGGGGGTAATGGAGCCCCTCGGCGGGGGGTAATGGGGGCCTCTGAGAAAGCCTTATCTTAGAATTAATGTCTCCCTTGATGGGACAGACATCACGCCTGTTTGGTCTCAGGGTTCAAAGATCGAACGCTAACCGTCGCCCCTCTATTGGCGTTTTCATAACAGCTAACGTAAACGGGGAGGGGCCGGTCGGACCCTAGCCTCCAACATTCGTTGGACCCCCAGGGGTCCAACGAATTTCTCCCCCCCATAAATTAGCGGCTGGCAAAACACCAATACGGGTGACGGTTAACTTCCTTGGCCATTGGGTGACTTAAGACTTTCAAAGGGTCAATGACAATTGTGTAGTAGATCTGATCAGCACCCGCTGTACCTTCTAGAATTGAAATTTTATGACCTTCCATGATCTCAAGAAACAACTGCCTAACAAGTCAACAGTTATTTCTGTCAATGTATGACATGCTTTATGGCAGATAAAAAAAAATCATCGGCTCGAGGGTAAAATTGTGTCGTGATGCGACGTTTTTCCATAATAATACCCGAAATACCCAAAGAGTCACGGAAAGGTATGACATTTCACGTGCGTGAAGTTAGCGTCGTATTCCGCGACGGATTCAGCGTCGAGTCCTAATTTCAACTAAGCCCAACCTATCCGATGCAGTTTGGGACGCTGATTCCGAATATCGTATTCATTTCAAATTTCAAGGTCATCTTCAAGGTCAAATCACGGATTCAAATTGAGTCCCCGATTTTTCCTACACCGATCGTCCGATCCGATTTCTGAAGGTCGCATTCGAAAGCTAGGGTCAGAATCTCGAATTCCCTAATATATACCTTATTAAAAATATTTGACCTTAAAGGTCAAATCACGGATTGAAATTTTGAGTCCCCCTATTTTTTCTACACCGATCGCCCGATCCGAATTCTGATGATCGCATTCGATAGCTAGGGTTAGAATCTCGAGTTCCCTAATATATACCTTATTAAAAATATTTGACCTTAAAGGTCAAATCACGGATTGAAATTTTGAGTCCCCCTATTTTTTCTACACCGATCGTCTGATCCAATTTCTGATGGTCGCATTCGATAGCTAGGGTCAGAATCTCGAGTTCCCTAATATATACCTTATTAAAAATATTTGACCTTAAAGGTCAAATCACGGATTGAAATTTTGAGTCCCCCTATTTTTTCTACTGCGATCGTCCGATCCAATTTTTGATGGTCGCATTCGATAGCTAGGGTCAGAATCTCGAGTTCCCTAATATATACCTTATTAAAAATATTTGACCTTAAAGGTCAAATCACGGATTGAAATTTTGAGTCCCCGATTTTCCTACACCGATTGTACGATCCGATTTCTGATGGTCGCATTCGATAGCTAGGGTCAGAATCTCGAGTTCCCTAATATATACCTTTTTAAAAATATTTGACCTTAAAGGTCAAATCACGGATTAAAATTTTGAGTCCCCTATTTTTTCTACACCGATCGTCCGATCCAATTTCTGATGGTCGCATTCGATAGCTAGGGTCAGAATCTCGAGTTCCCTAATGTATACCTTATTAAAAATATTTGACCTTAAAGGTCAAATCACGGATTGAAATTTTAAGTCCCCCTATTTTTTCTTCACCGATCGTCCGATCCAATTTCTGATGGTCGCATTCGATAGCCAGGGTCAGAATCTCGAGTTCCCTAATACATACCTTATTAAAAATATTTGACCTTAAAGGTTAAAGTACTCAAAATTTCAATCCGTGATTTGACCTTTAAGGTCAAATATTTTTAATAAGGTATATATTAGGGAATTCGAGATTCTGACCCTAGCTATCGAATGCGACCTTCAGAAATCGGATCGGACGATCGGTGTAGAAAAAATCGGGGGAATAAAAATTTCAATCCGTGATTTGACCTTTAAGGTCAAATATTTTTAATAAGGTATGTATAAGGGAACTCGAGATTCTGACCCTAGCTATCGAATGCAACCATCAGAAATTGGATCGGACGATCGGTGTAGAAAAAATAGGGGGACTCAAAATTTCAATCCGTGATTTGACCTTTAAGGTCAAATATTTTTAATAAGGTATATATTAGGGAACTCGAGATTCTGACCCTAGCTATCGAATGCGACCATCAGAAATTGGATCGGACGATCGGTGTAGAAAAAATAGGGGACTCAAAATTTCAATCCGTGATTTGACCTTTAAGGTCAAATATTTTTAATAAGGTATATATTAGGGAATTCGAGATTCTGACCCTAGCTTTCGAATGCGACCTTCAGAAATCGGATCGGACGATCGGTGTAGAAAAAATAGGGGGACTCAAAATTTCAATCCGTGATTTGACCTTTAAGGTCAAATATTTTTAATAAGGTATATATTAGGGAACTCGAGATTCTGACCCTAGCTATCGAATGCGACCATCAGAAATTGGATCGGACGATCGGTGTAGAAAAAATAGGCGGACTCAAAATTTCAATCCGTGATTTGACCTTTAAGGTCAAATATTTTTAATAAGGTATATATTAGGGAATTCGAGATTCTGACCCTAGCTTTCGAATGCGACCTTCAGAAATCGGATCGGACGATCGGTGTAGAAAAAATCGGGGGACTCAAAATTTCAATCCGTGATGTGACCTTTAAGGTCAAATATCCGTGATTTGATCTTTACGGTCAAATATTTTTAATAAGGTTTATATTAGGGAACTCGAGATTCTGACCCTAGCTATCGAATGCGACCATCAGAAATTGCATCTGACGATCGGTGTAGAAAAAATAGGGGGACTCAAAATTTCAATCCGTGATTTGACCTTTAAGGTCAAATATTTTTAATAAGGTATGTATTAGGGAACTCGAGATTCTGACCCTAGCTATCGAATGCGACCATCAGAAATTGGATCGGACGATCGGTGTAGAAAAAATAAGGGGACTCAAAATTTCAATCCGTGATTTGACCTTTAAAGTCAAATATTTTTAATAAGGTATATATTAGGGAACTCGAGATTCTGACCCTAGCTATCGAATGCGACCATCAGAAATTGGATCGGACGATCGGTGTAGAAAAAATCGGGGGACTCAAAATTTCAACCCGTGATGTGACCTTTAAGGTCGAATATCCGTGATTGGACCATTAAGGTCAAATATTTTTAATAAGGTATATATTAGGGAACTCGAGATTCCGACCCTAGCTATCGAATGCGACCATCAGAAATCGGATCGGACGATCGGTGTAGAAAAATTGGGGGACTCAAAATTTCAATCCGTGATTTGACCTTTAAGGTCAAATATTTTTAATAAGGTATATATTAGAGAACTCGAGATTCTGACCCTAGCTATGGAATGCGATCATCAGAAATTGGATCGGACGATCGGTGTAGAAAAAATAGGGGACTCAAAATTTCAATCCGTGATTTGACCTTTAAGGTCAAATATTTTTAATAAGGTATATATTAGGGAACTCGAGATTTTGACCCTAGCTATCGAATGCGCCCATCAGAAATTGGATCGGACGATCGGTGTAGAAAAAATAGGGGGACTCAAAATTTCAATCCGTGATTTGACCTTTAAGGTCAAATATTTTTAATAAGGTATATATAAGGGAACTCGAGATTCTGACCCTAGCTATCGAATGCGACCATCAGAAATTGGATCGGACGATCGGTGTAGAAAAAATAGGGGGACTCAAAATTTCAATCCGTGATTTGACCTTTAAGGTCAAATATTTTTAATAAGGTATATACTAGGGAATTCGAGATTCTGACCCTAGCTATCGAATGCGTTCTTCAGAAATTGGATCGGACGATCGGTGTAGAAAAAATCGGGGGACTCAAAATTTCAATCCGTGATGTGACCTTTAAGGTCGAATATCCGTTATTTGACCTTTAAGGTCAAATATTTTTAATGAGGTATATACTAGGGAACTCGAGATTCTGACCCTAGCTATCGAATGCGACCATCAGAAATCGGATCGGACGATCGGTGTAGAAAAAATTGGGGGACTCAAAATTTCAATCCGTGATTTGACCTTTAAGGTCAAATATTTTTAATAAGGTATATATCAGGGAACTCGAGATTCTGACCTTATCTATCGAATGCAACCATCAGAAATTGGATCGAACGATCGGTGTAGAAAAAATAGGGGGACTCAAAATTTCAATCCGTGATTTGACCTTTAAGATCAAATATTTTTAATAAGGTATATATTAGGGAACTCGAGATTCTGACCCTATCTATCGAATACGACCATCAGAAATTGGATCGGATGATCGGTGTAGAAAAAATAGGGGGACTCAAAATTTCAATCCGTGATTTGACCTTTAAGGTCAAATATTTTTAATAAGGTATGTATTAGGGAACTCGAGATTCTGACCCTAGCTATCGAATGCAACCATCAGAAATTGGATCGAACGATCGGTGTAGAAAAAATAGGGGGACTCAAAATTTCAATCCGTGATTTAACCTTTAAGGTCAAATATTTTTAATAAGGTATATATTAGGGAACTCGAGATTCTGACCCTATCTATCGAACACGACCATCAGAAATTGGATCGGACGATCGGTGTAGAAAAAATAGGGGGACTCAAAATTTCAATCCGTGATTTGACCTTTAAGGTCAAATATTTTTAATAAGGTATGTATTAGGGAACTCGAGATTCTGACCCTAGGTATCGAATGCGACCATCAGAAATTGGATCAGACGATCGGTGTAGAAAAAAATAGGGGGACTCAAAATTTCAATCCGTGATTTGACCTTTAAGGTCAAATATTTTTAATAAGGTATGTATTAGGGAACTCGAGATTCTGACCCTAGCTATCGAATGCGACCATCAGAAATTGGATCGGACGATCGGTGTAGAAAAAATCGGGGGACTCAAAATTTCAACCCGTGATGTGACCTTTAAGGTCGAATATCCGTGATTGGACCATTAAGGTCAAATATTTTTAATAAGGTATATATTAGGGAACTCGAGATTCCGACCCTAGCTATGGAATGCGATCATCAGAAATTGGATCGGACGATCGGCGTAGAAAAAATAGGGAACTCAAAATTTCAATCCGTGATTTGACCTTTAAGGTCAAATATTTTTAATAAGGTATATATTAGGGAACTCGAGACTCTGACCCTAGCTATCGAATACGACCATCAGAAATTGGATAGGACGATCGGTGTAGAAAAAATAGGGGGACTCAAAATTTCAATCCGTGATTTGACCTTTAAGGTCAAATATTTTTAATAAGGTATATATTAGGGAACTCGAGATTTTGACCCTAGCTATCGAATGCGACCATCAGAAATTGGATAGGACGATCGGTGTAGAAAAATAGGGGGACTCAAAATTTCAATCCGTGATTTGACCTTTAAGGTCAAATATTTTTAATAAGGTATATATTAGGGAACTCGAGATTTTGACCCTAGCTATCGAATGCGACCATCAGAAATTGGATCGGACGATCGGTGTAGAAAAAATAGGGGGACTCAAAATTTCAATCCGTGATTTGACCTTTAAGGTCAAATATTTTTAATAAGGTATATATTAGGGAATTTGAGATTCTGACCCTAGCTTTCGAATGCGACCTTCAGAAATCGGATCGGACGATCGGTGTAGGAAAAATCGGGGACTCAATTTCAATCCGTGATTTGACCTTGAAGATGACCTTGAAATTTGAAATGAATACGATATTCGGAATCAGCGTCCCAAACTGCATCGGATAGGTTGGGTTTAGTTGAAATTCGGACTCGACGCTGAATCCGTCGCGGAATACGACGCTAACTTCACGGACGTTGACATTTCAGTGAGCTCGGTTGTGTATGCAATGGTGTCTGGTAGGGTGGGGGTAATGGCCCTGCCTCGCGCCCGAAAAGGGGGCACGACCCCGGAGGGCCTGCCGACCACTGGATTAGAGCAACATTATCTATAAAAATGTATATCTCGGAATTTTGATATCGGTGACCTAAGGTCAGGTCAATTTTGCGGCCTCTCCATTATAAGTCAATGGGAGAAAATTGAAAAGCGTCTGTTTTGCACGAACGCTATTCTAGACATTTTTACAATTTTACAGTTTTACAAACAATTTTACCTCAAAGAGATGTAGGTAAAATTGACACACTGAAACGGAAAATGGCAGCTGTGACCCCCAGTGTTCCATTTTTCAGACTTTTTGGTGGCAAATTACACCTAATGGGGAAAATACTTTCATCCCTAAAATACGAATGACCGACTTAGCTTCCTCTCTGAAAAAAAGTTTCATGTATTTCCAACAGCCAGTTTACATGTCACTTGACAGGATGGTGCACCCACATTTTTGTTTCACAACCTGTCAAGATTCTGACATGAAATCCTGGTTTATCAGTTGGCATACAAATTGGCATTATACCATTTTGCAAATGCACTTTGGTTATTTATTTCCTTTTTCCTCATCCTACGATTTTTTTTCTCCGTCAGCACACCCATCCAAAATCCAATTTTAGAACACTGGTGACCCCTCGTTATGTCCCCGAGGTCATCTCAGGTCACGAACAGAATCTAACAGTTTTTCGCTAATAGCTTCTGAATTCTGATAGAGGCGTGCTAGAGCGCTGAAAACACCTTAGATGTGTTCGGCTCGACGTTGCGGATCGACTGATATGCAACATAACCTTTTCCGGTCAGGTCATGACCTTGACCTGAGGTCAAATTTTCAAGTTGACTTTTCAAGGTCAACTTATAGTTCATTCGACGTGTCTCGACGAGAGGAACACGATGCTGGCAAAAGTAATGTCATGGCCCTTTTGAGTCAAAGGTTATCGCCGAAAAAACGATTTTCGTAAAAACTGTTATTTTTTTAGTTTTTGCCCTCTGGAGGCTAAAGCGTTGACCTGAGGTCAAATCTGAGAACATTATTCAGAAAGGTCTGTAAAAGGGCTATCGATTGCGCTTTTCCGCGGCGCTATAGCTCTATCGGTTCCCGAGATAGCTTTTGGTAGTTTCCAAAATGTTGAAATAGTCAACATTTTACCTTTGGTGACCTCTGGTGACCTGACCTTTGACCTGACCCAAAAAATGACCAAAGTGTTTTCGTCCTTATTTTGGACGTTCTTTCGATTGCCGCTTACCGCGTGTCGCTACGTGGCCCAGGAGCCGAGTTAGTGGGGGGGGGGGGGGGTCAAACACCCCCCCCCCCCCACACACACACACCAGGTCGTGGAAAAGCCAGACTGACACTGGGGCGCGGGTTAAAGATCGCTCTGATTTTACGCCTACCGTCAATAACTGACCGCTACTTCGGAGCTTTGATGCATTATGCTGTATAATATTTAGGGTCTACTTTCCGCCACCGGTTACACGTGCCGGGCACGACCCACTGAGGGGGTTGATTGCTGACTGGTACCGACTGAGGGGTCTAACTGCTGGCTGCTGACCGGTACCACTGTCACGTGCCGTAGTGTGACGACCCCCCCCCCCCCCCCCTCCGTGGTGTGACGCCCCCCCCCCCCGTGGTGTGACGGCCCCCCCGTGGTGTGACGGCCCCTCCGTGGTGTGACGGCCCCTCCGTGGTGTGACGCCCCCCCCCCGTGGTGTGACGCCCCCCCCTCCGTGGTGTGACGCCCCCCCCCCGTGGTGTGACGGCCCCCCCCCTCCGTCCGGCAGACACGACGACTACGACTACGCGGTGGTGAACCAACTGCTGGACCGGCGGCTGAAGGCGTTCGTCAAGACCATGTGCGTGTACCCGGAGCGGCTGGACGGCGCCGGCGGCGGTCTGCGGCCCCTCTCGGACGGCATGCAGGGCTTCCAGCACTCGGAGAAGGTGAGACGGCGGCCGAGCGACGGCGCCCAGCGGGCCGACTGATGACCCACTGAGGGGGCCTACTGATGACCCACTGAGGGGCCGACTGCTGACCCACTGAGGGGGCCGACTGATGACCCACTGAGGGGCCGACTGATGACTGCAGGCTGCTGACCGACTCAGGGGCCGACTGCTGACCGGTACCGACTGAGGGGTCTGACTGGCTGCTGACCGGTGCCGCTGCGGGCTGTGTCGACTGTCGGCCTGGTGTGACTGACCCCCCCCCCCCCCCCGCCGCCGTCAGGTGCACGTGGCCATCCTGTGTCTGACTGACCCCCCCCCCCCCCCCGCCGCCGTCAGGTGCACGTGGCCATCCTGTGTCTGGAGGCGCGCCTGCAGTCTGAGCTGCTGTACGCGCTCCGGGCCGTGATGCGCTACACGACGTGAGCCGGCCGCCAGCACTCAGCCCACGCCGCGCGTCAATCATGTCGTCAATGAGTGCCGTCTGTTTTTACTGGGCGCTGCTGCCGGACGGACCTCTTTGTACTTGGTATATTGTCTGTGATGTTTTAGCGGCGGTGGCCGTGCGCGTGGCGTTAGTGCGAGGAGCGCGGGTCGGGCCCGGGGACGGCGGCCGCCGATCCGCTGCGCTCTCTGCGCCCTGTGTCACGCCGTCGACAGATTGGGGCGACCGAGCCGCCCGCCGTGCCGCCGTGTGCCAGTGGCCGGGAGCGGCCGCAGTGCCCCAGCGGCCAGCCCGGCGACCAGGCCAGTCTCAGTGTTTTAGCCGTCGGTGGGCGCCCACTGCCAGGCTGCGGTGGCGGCCCGCGCACACACCCAGCCGGGCCGGGCCACCCTGGCGGGGTGGTGGACGCGGCGCTCCACGGATATGTCTTTCAAAGTGTCCGCTGAACTGATCCCGTTCAACATCCGACGAAATAATAAATAAAGGACATGCATAATTTGAGGCCATGCGTTTGTGCTTTGCTTGCGCCGTCGATAAAGCTTTACAAGAAAAGGGACATGGTACATTAGAGGTAGAAAACACGAAACTGAACGATCCTTCTTCAAATCTAGCTACCTTTTTACGGAAGATGTTTTACTTTTATGTCCCGAGGCGGAAATCATGTTGAAATTTTTGCTGTGGCCTAGGATTTGTCTGGGATTTGAGGAATGTTTATTTGCTTATCAGTGTGGAAGATAACGACTTTCAACTTTAACTAAATTTGAAGTGTTTGCAGTTCAAATTATCGGGTCTCTGTCTCAGCTGAGCAGGCGGCCCCCGGTTGGTGTGTGCCAGTGACGGCCGGTGGGGGACGGTCGCGCTGCGGAGAGCGGCAGTTGGTGTGTGCCGGTGGGGGACGGTCGCGCTGCGGAGAGCGGCAGTTGGTGTGTGCCAGTGGCGGCCGGTGGGGGACGGTGGCGCTGCGGAGAGCGGCAGTTGGTGTGTGCCAGTGGCGGCCGGTGGGGGACGGTCGCGCTGCGGAGAGCGGCAGCTGGTGTGTGCCGGTGGGGGACGGTCGCGCTGCAGAGAGCGGCAGCTGGTGTGTGCCGGTGGGGGACGGTCGCGCTGCAGAGAGCGGCAGTTGGTGTGTGCCGGTGGGGGACGGTCGCGCTGCGGAGAGCGGCAGTTGGTGTGTGCCAGTGGCGGCCGGTGGGGGACGGTCGCGCTGCGGAGAGCGGCAGTGCAGCCCGCCGCGATGGCCGCCGCCGAGCTGCCGCCGCTGGAGGCCGTCTGGGTGTCGCCGTCGATGGGCGCCGCGCCGCCGGCCCGCTTCGTGCCCGTGCACCTGCAAGTGTACGGCGTGGCCGGCAGCGCCCAGCTGGCCGCGCTGGCCGGCTGCGCGCAGCACCTGCACCGGCGCCGGCCCAACCTGTTCCTGCGCGCGCCCCATGTGCTGCCCATGTACGAGGCAGAGTGGAGCGCCTTCGTCGACAACCTCCGAAAGGTGAGAGCGACCCACGCCGGTCGGCAAGGGGCGCTGCTACAGCAGAATAGAGGATGCCGCTACAGAGAGCACCACCTGTGACATGCCAGCCAGGGAACGGCTGCGCACGGTTCTACATTGTGCGTCACATTTTCTCAATGGTAGCACTGTCCAGTCACAGTGTCCAGCTACTGGAATTGCTCACATTCATGTCAATGAATCCAGTTTCACTAGCATTGCGAATAGCTCAGTCAAGCGTGTGAGGTGTGTGAGTGTGAGTGTGGCCGAGTGCCGTGTGTGTGGGTGCCGCGTGCGGCGCCGCCGGTTGAGTGTCGTGTATGAGTGCCGTGTATGTGAGTGTCGTGTGCGGCGCCGCGTCTGAGTGTCACGTGCGCCGCCGCCGGCAGCTGGTAACGGGCGGCGAGGCCTGGTGTCTGTCCGGGCCGGCGGTGCTCTTCTGCGACTCGCAGTACGTCGGCGACCTGGACCGAGCCGTGGACTGGATCACAGAGACGTTCGGCATCCCCATAGACCTGGAGGAGATCGAGACGCCCGGAGACATCTACCGACAGACCATGCTCGCACGCAAGGTCAGAGCCTCCCGCTCTGTCTCAGAGCCCCTCTCTCCCCCTCTGGCCTCTCCCCTGCAGTACCTTTCGGGCGACCGCAGCGTACGCCAATCAGCTGTAGACCGCTGATTTTTACTGAGAGTGACGTCTGACCCCGGTGTCTGCCGTCTGACCCCGGTGTCTGCCGTCTGACCCCCCCCCCCCCCCCGGTGTCTGCCGTCTGACTCCGGTGTCTGCCGTCTGACCCCCCCCCCCCCCCCGGTGTCTGCCGTCTGACTCCGGTGTCTGCCGTCTGACCCCCCCCCCCCGGTGTCTGCCGTCTGACTCCCCCCCCCCCCCCGGTGTCTGCCGTCTGACCCCGGTGTCTGCCGTCTGACCCCGGTGTCTGCCGTCTGACCCCGCCCCCCCCCCCGGTGTCTGCCGTCACCCCCCCCCCCCCCCGGTGTCTGGCGTCTGACTCCGGTATCTGCCGTCTGACCCCGGTGTCTGCCGTCTGACCCCGCCCCCCCCCCCCGGTGTCTGCCGTCACCCCCCCCCCCCCCCCCCCGGTGTCTGGCGTCTGACTCCGGTGTCTGACGGCCGCCCGGCCGCCCGCAGAACAGTGTCGTCTTCCTGGACGTGTCGTACGACGGCCGTGCCGTGGGTCGGCTGGTGTTTGAGCTGTTTGACGAGCTGCTGCCGCGCGCCAGCCGAAACTTCCGGCAGCTGTGCAGCGGCCGGGGCGGCGTCAGCGCCCGCTCGGGCACCGTGCTCTGGTACGCCGGCACGCCCGTCCATCGGATCGTCCGCGGCGGCTGGCTCCAGGCCGGCGGTGGGTACCGCTGGGACTCAGGCCGGCGGTGGGTACCGCTGGGACGCACGCTGGGACGGTGGTGGGGTGGTGGGTACCGGTGGAGCGGCGTTGGGTACCGCTGGGACTCAGGCCGGCGGTGGGTACCGCTGGGACTCAGGTCGGGTGGTGGGTACCGCTGGGACGGCGGTGGGTACCGCTGGGACTCAGGTCGGGTGGTGGAGTGGTGGGTACCGCTGGGACGGTGGAGCGGTGGGTACCGCTGGGACGGTGGTGGGTACCGCTGGGACGGTGGTGGGACGGTGTGTACCGCTGGGACGGTGGAGTGGTGAGTACCGCTGGAACTTGATGCGTAGCTCGGCTGTGTCTCTCGTGCAGGTCCCCTCCCCCATGGACGCTCGTCGACCCTCCCCCCCCCCCTTACGGCAGACATCGTGGACGGCTGCGGCGCGCACGGCGAGAGCGTGTTTGGCGCCCCGTTCGCCGACGAGTGTTTCGCCGTGGCTCACGACCGGCGCGGCCGGCTCTCGATGGTCGAGGACGAGCGCAACGCCAACACCTCCCAGTTCATGGTGGCCTTCGGGCCGATGACGTACATGCAGAACCTGTGCTGCGCGTTCGGGTGAGCGTCGGCCGTCGGCCCCGTCCCGCCCGGTCCGGTCCCTGTCAGATCAGCGCCCGCTAGACCTGTGTGTGCGTGTGGTCTCAGATTTGGGCTCTTCTGACCGTCGCCGACCCTGGCCAGTGTTCAGTTACATCACTGAGTGACCGCCTCAGCTCCCTTCTGACATTTAATTGAGCTGATGATCTTCGATTGACCTTCAACTGACCTGTCGACCTCCGACTGACCTGTCGACCTCTGCCGCCCCTATTGGTCTCCCTCCTGTGATGATCACGGAACACAGCTGAAACTAATAAATGAATAGCCAAAGTAGTGAATACTGGGTAGTAAGCAGTCTCTCGATCTGAGAGTGAGGCCACCTCCCCAGCCGCGCGCACACCTACCTGTTAAATGTGCGTGACCTGCGGCTGTTCCCTTGGGCTCCACTACCTCACTGTGTCCACCTGATCAGTGACCAGTGGTCTCAAATACCTGCGGTCCTTGTATCTGACGCGGTCGGACTTCTGGTACCTATTTTGTACCTACCGATGCGGTATATCCGACCTCGAGTGCCGGTGCAGTACATATACCATTTACCAATCCGACCTCCGGCGCCGGTGCAGTACATATACCAATCCGACCTCCGGGACCGGTGCAGTATATGTCTGAACTCTGAAACCGGTGCAGTATATGTCTGAACGCTGACGGCCGCTATCGGTGCTGCCGCCAGCCAGCTGATCGAAGGCTCTGCCGTTCTCGACTACCTGGAGACGGTGGAGACCAACAACGAGCGGCCCATGCGCACGGTGGCCTTCACGAACGGCGGCGTGCTGCACGAGCCGAGCGGCGCCGGCCGGCTGGCCTCGTTCGACCTGTGTGACGCTGACCTGGCCGACTGGAGCCCGCCGGTGGAGCCGCCCTCGGTGCGTGCCGGCGGCCCCAGCCCAGTCGCCGACGGCCACCGACGCGTCTGTCCGCCCGTCCCCGCCCCGGCCCGCACCAGTGGCGTCTTTTTTTTTTGCGGGAAACTTAAACCCCATTTAAAGCGCCCGACTTTTGGAGGTGCCCGTTTGATCTCAGACCATAAAGTTGGGAATCGTTTTATTCCTCTAGTGTACGCTCGTTTTCAGATGTCTGTATAAGACTCGCGCCCGGGTGAGCCTCTAAGTCAGCTTTGTCATGTGGTAGTGCTGGTGGGCGGGGGAGGGGGGGGGGTGCTTTTTGACCTTACCAGGTTACCTCGAAGAGCAAGGATGCTGGAAAACGCAGAAAAACAAAAAGATTTCTACGGTTTATTTATTTATATTATTTCTCGATCAGGTCATCTTTGAGGTCACTAGAGGTCACTACTCACTAGGTCAAAATATCACGATTCCCTCCTCCGATTTTGATAGGGTAGACCGGGGCAAGTCGCCCCGCCGAGGTAAAACGCCTCACCGATGTTTCTCGGAACTGGCAAGGATCTGGGGAAATATTCTCTCTTCTATAAAACGTGCACTATATGATCATTATATGACCAGACTGGAAAGAAATTGTGATGACTCCTTAGGGAGATATAGCCAAAAATGTGTTTTTGGAGTGATTTTTATATTTTGTTGTCAGGTTATGCATCATAGCGTTCTTTTATGGTCCACATCAGGTTAACGACTTTTATGTATTTTGAACAACTATTATCTAACGCTTATAATGCCGGGTTGGTTCGTGTTAAATTATGTCTTGCTCGAGTGCAAGGCGTTGTTTTCTTACCGAACTACGTGATGGGGTAAAACGCCCCAGTAGGTCGCGGGGCAAAAAGCCCCATGGGGCGTTTTGCCTCATGTGTTGTTCGTACTACCCACTTCCTAATGTTCGGTAGCTGGCAAACAGTAAGTTTCTATGCATTTATGTGTAGTTTTCTCAGCAACCGGATGGCGAAGGAAGTATTTGGTTGACAGTTGCATGGCAATAATTTATCATTTGGCCTTATGAGGCAGGTGAAAAACCTGCTCATACAATAGTGTCATAGCTGAACACCTGATAGGATGGAAGGTGCTAACTTCAGTGCCGTGCCTCCCAAGGTCTAACGGACCTCTCATATAAGATTTAGTCAACTAGCATGTTTAATCTTTAATCTAGAGTATGGGGCTTCTTGCCCCAGGCCGTGGGGCGTTTTGCCCTGGGGTTGGGGCAAAATGCCTCATTTGCAGTTGCTTCACAAATCACTTCATAGCTGGGAGTCCGATCATAAGTGAATGAATTTGAGGGGTGGAATTTAAAGTAAAATGTCCAAAGAACGCATTGAGCACAAATTTGGCCTTCCAGGTGATGTAGGACAAAAGTTATCTAGCAAAATAAATTATCTGGGGCGTCTTGCCCCAGGCTACCCTATTTTTCACAAATCGGGGCATAACTCGAAAGTCTATATAGCTACAGCGCCGTGGAAAAGTGCATTTAACAACTCTTCCAAGCTCTTTCTCAGCAATGTTCTCAGGTCTGACCCAGGGGAAAAATAAAAATTTGACGTTTTGCGGAAACCGTTGTTCTGTAATAATTTTTATACCAAGCTTGTATTACCTACGTTGGTTTTACCGACATCGCGTTTCGACTGAGACGTGTCCAATGAACAATAGCAACACGTTTCCCGCTCTGTACATATAGTGTTCGGCAGCCATGGTAAATATTGGTGGGGGAGGGGGAGGTGGTGAAAACCCCGTTGTCGTCTGTGGTCGTTCTGTGTCGCTGTGGGCTGTGGCCATGCTGTGCCGCTGTGGGCTGTCCGGTGTGGGCTGTGTCGCTGTCCGGTGTGAGCTGTAGGCCGTCCGGTGTGGGCTGTGGGCTGTGGGCTGTCCGGTGTGGGCTGTGGGCCGTCCGGTGTGGACTGTCCGGGCGTGCTACCCTGTGGTGACGGCGGCTCTGGTTGTGTTTCAGGAGCACAGACGCGTGTCAGGTGCTGGCAGCGCCGTAGCCACGCCCCTCGACTACATCGTGCCCGTCGGACGCGACTGAGGGAGGGCAGCGGCGCCCCCTCGCGGGGCGGCACAACACCCGATCGCGGACACGGTGACCGCGCGCGATAGCCGTGACCAGATACTGCTTCTTTCGGGAGCTTGTGACGGCCTGTTCGTCCTTCGTGCTCAGGCATAATATACATTTACCTTCACAGTTCGCGACGCCATGATACGCACCCCAGCCTTTTTTCCCAGTAGGTGTGTATGTATAGATTTATGTACCTACCTTTGTTTCAATGAAATAATGGAATAGGTTTATCACAAAACTAAGAAAATAAATTTCAGTGAACTTTCTTATTTATGGGCTATCGCATCATGACAAAAAAATGACAAGAATAATAGCAGCATAAGTAAACGGGAGAAAATGTAAATGTAAATCTCTTGGACCGCGGCCATAATGAGCATTCTCAAACATCGTGTTAACATGGTTACCTACATGACACCCACATGGTTCTTCCTTCTTGGTCTTGACCTTCACCATGTGGTTGCTATATACCGATACGTCGTTATTTGTGGACGTGTTGTGAATTGTGATCGATATACAAATGCAGCTTCATGAGAGTACTCCGTCCCGATTGTAAAATTACTGGCCACAATCAAGGCAATCAGACAGACTGGCCACAATAAAATTCAAGCATGCCATCACAGTTCACATGCAATACCCATGTTTATTTAGGGGAGAAGGTAAAGTATATGCGCCAAGGTTGGTAGTTGGTATTTGGTAACCTGTGTATCGGTGTATTTACTTACCTAAAATCCACTAATATCATTCGATCCACCCACCATCCGTATTTTACTCCGACAACCCCGTGTTCGCTTCTGTTCCGGCAGAGTTTCACGGCCATCGGCACACGCGGGAACCCCAGACCGTAAATCACCCGCGCCGGTCGGCGCGACTCGCGGCTTTTATTACATGGGGGAACGGCAGGGACCGAGGCGGAGACCCATACGACATCTAGCGGCACTCCCTTGAACCAACAAAACCGGCAAAAAGTGGATATGATTCGGGCTTAATTTCAGTCACAGTTCAAACATTTCTGAGAAGTAAACTTCATTTTCGTGTGAAGAAATGTTCTGAGCACATTTCTATGTAGCCGTTTTTTTATTTTATGCCTCACACGAAAAATAAAAGATGAGCAAAGTTTTACTTTCATTTTTTACAACATTGCAAAAAGAAAATGGAAAATTGGAGTACATAGAATTGTTGTCCACTTTGAGGAGATGCGGTTGCCATTCATTTCTGTGCGCCTAGTTTGAGAATAACGTTTAATGAATCTCGGCCCAAACTTTTAAGTTGTTCCACCTTTATCGTGCAATATCAACGTGAATATTGCACGGAAGCAAACAACTTGTCCAAAGTAGGCTTCGTATACCCTAACCCATGGTATACCCATGGAGCAGGCACATGCCAAATTTGAGGCTAATATCTCTATCGGTTTTCAAGATATTGCGGTTTTTCATCTCCCATTGACCATTAACAACGCACCCTTAGCCCGCGCCGGACTGGAGGGAGGGGCCGGGGGTAGCCTGTTAGAACATTCCCTTGCAAACATGTCGTCATTCTGAAATACGTCATTTGTGGCCAAATTATCATATGTACATTTAGAAAAAAAAACTAAGTCAAATAAAGGTGTAAATTGTAAAATTGATCCCCGGAGAAGTCCTGAAATTTGGTGACGATGTCTGCAATACTTAACGGCACAACGACAGAAGAGGAGACTGGAGGCCGTTCGCTCCCTATCCCGGCCCAGTGGGTCGCAAGTTAACGCCTGTATGTGTAATGAGGGCGGCCTCGGGCCTACCTGCTGGGCGCTGGGCGGCTGCGGCGCGCTCGTGTTCCCGGCCGCCCGGGCCGTCCTGGACTTGGTCCTGAAGACGCGGGCGTGCTGGCCGGCCCGGTTCCATGTCGGACGTGTAGGTATGTACGTACACCTACAGCCCTCAGCAGACTGCATACGGTAGGTATTCTTTTTTTTTCGACAAAACCAGCAATAACTCAAAGACTATGTTATCAGTCGGTCGGAATTCACTGGAAATAGAGGTGCCATGATGATGCTCTACTCCTTCGATTGGGTCTATCACTAAACAAAGTATATGCCTTGTGTTGCAACAAAATGCAAAAGTTGGTGTTGGGGGCAATTATAAACTTTTGGGTTTTGTTGCCAAACTGGATGGAAAGTAGGTAAATACGATGGTACCTAATGTCAATCTGAGGTGCGCAGTTTCGCGCGTCTTGCTGACTGCTGTTACGATTTCCGAGTGACCGATAGCATAGTATCCGTGTTGTTATCGGTTTTGTCGAAACAAGAATACCTACCACGCAGTTTGCAGAGGGCTGTATACATAGGTACCTGACTCTGGCCGCATGTAATTGTTCGGTGGTTTCGAGGAGACCACACTCACTCCCATTGCTGCCCCGAGATGGCGCTACTGGTATGCGCCTGTTTGGATACTGTGCCGGATGACACATTCACTTCTGTTGGCTGTTGCTGTCCCGAGGTGTCGCTAGTAAATAACGCCTGATAGTGTACAGATACTGTGCCGCATTACACAATCACTCCCATTGTCGTCCCGAGATGACGCTACATTTCTCTAATGAAGAGAAAACTTGGTATGGCGGGATTAGCAAATCGACGACCGCTGCGCAGGTGCTCTGATTGTGGCGCGGAAGTCGTTGCTGTTTTTCCGGTTTGTCGTTTTTCACGTTTTGATTCGTGAAGGCACGGTATATAGAGTACTCGTGAAGGCTTGAGGGTTTAAGATCGTCAAGATACCTAATACCTATAAGAAACGGCTAGGTACCGTTTGGACACAGTGTATATAAATACGTGGTATTAACTTTTACCGGTACCGTTTTCGTAAGGAACAACCTTTTTGATCGAGGGGGATGTGTAGGTCTGGTATAACCCAAAATTTGTTCAAATCCCTCTTTTTACACCCTGGGCTCAAAATTAAATCAAAACCACACCATATTGTGAAAACAATGTATCAACTCTTTAGTTTCAGTAGGGGAGAGTGGGGTAAGATGTCGGTAAATGTCAAGATAAAGTCCTAAGAAGATTTCAAGGATAATTTTTCACAATATTACATTATTTGACATCCTGAATCAGAATCCAAAAATGATGCTTATATGTCTCGCAAATAAAAGGAAATAACATAATCAAACCTGACCTAACCTTACCTGCTTACCTACAACCTACAAACCTACGAACCTACCACCTATAACCTACAAACCTACAACTAACCTAACCTACAGCCTAAAACTTCTGTTTCATATTTGTATCAAGAGTGCCACAATCGTAAATCAGACCTTATCTTGACAAATACCATAATTGTTTTAGAGTTTAGTTTTAGTACTAACAAATTGTACTGATTAAATGTTAACCCGCGTCCCGTTGGGGTCTGCCAAACAATGCGCCCTGTTTGGGGGGGCAATTTGCCCCTCCAAGATCTTGAGAACTGCGCAACATAGCAACAAGCAGCAAACGGTGTTGGATAGCCACAACAGGGACCTACCTTGTGACCCAATTTCATCGACCTAGGTCAAACTGATGACATCACAGGTCAGGTTAAATGTCAAATTTTCACTGTTTACAGGCATTTCAAGAAATGAGTTGTAAAATCGAGTAAAATGCATTTCATTGAAAATCATCGATTGGGAATTGTATGTCAAACACATATGTTGCTATTTTAGGTCACTGATACCAGGTCAGGTCACAGAGGTCAGGTCTGAGGTCACTGAGGGTCACAATATGAAAATATCATGTGATGCATGTTTTATGGTCCATTTTATATGCCAAATGTGATAATGTGGGTCAGGCAGCCTTTGGGATTATGTTCTGGTGAAGGTCAGGTCAAGGTCAGTTCAAATTAGATCAAATTTCAAAGTTGAAATTTTTGCATAAAATGGGTATCGATTGGATGCAGCTCGTCCCGGGGAGCTCAATGGTGGTCTTTGTTTTGCGCTATGTGGTCTAAAATGGCAAAAATGAGCTAAAAAATTTGGCATCATCAATTTTGAACAGTTTTTTTTTTTTTGCTGACTTGGCCAAAAAAAGAGGTAGGTATCGATCTTAAATTTGGTATAGAGATAGAAGAACGCAGTGTCTCACAAGTCACATTATTCCGTTTTTTTCGAATTTAGAAAAACGAATTCTTTTTGCGTTTTTCTAAAAAAAAAAAATTAGGTGCCGAAATCCCAAAATTTTGAAAATCCAGGATGGCAATTTTGTAGCGCCGTCTTTTCTCTACATGACCATTCAAAGAACTTTGAAATTGCTTGGTAACTGTAGCTTTTGTGAGCGTTTTAAGATTTCATTTTGACCTCAATAACTTCTGACCTAAGGTGACCTAAGACTTGAAATTTTGTGTGAAGGTGTCAAATTGATGCCCGAGGTATTGAAAATTTGGCGGCGCGCCGTTGCGCCGCCGTTTTCTTGCTATTCAGGAAAACCACAGGGGGGTTGGCAAATTGCCCCCCCCCCCCAGCGGGGCGAGGGATTTCGGTACCTTGGGGAAAGATGCCCCCTGACTTGATGGGGGAAAGACGCCCTCTAAATCCGTGGGCTGCCCTTCAAGGAACTCGTCGAATCATTTAGTACATACTTGTGAAGAGAAACAAAAGCCGATTTGGGACTATTGAGACTTGAGAGTCCAATACAGTCAGGTGCTCGCCATATCAGTCTCTTGGCCCATACACCGACTTTTTGGGGCGTCATCTGACTCTGTGAGGGTCCCATTATTGGCTCCGAGGTCCCTCACGAGTCCACGGGCCGCGCTGGCATCTGAGGTCCGCATGGTGGTCTTGAGGGCCTTCAAGTCTCATGGAGACTTATAAGGCCCCACAACGGTCTCCGAACGTCACCACGGATGCCCTGTTTGGCCGCGCTGGACTATGATGGCCCTCACGATGACCTCTGAAGCCCCTAACGACAACTCTTTAGGCGCTATGACAACTATTTTAGGCGCTTAGCGCCTTCTTATGAAGGCGCTAAGTGTCTACCGCAGGCTGGAATGGAATTGGTTCGTTCAGGCAACTCGCGTGCCCATTTATATTACTTATGGTGTGGAGGGGCATCTTATACCCAACCTTAGGGGGGGGGGGTCTTTCCCACCCTCTGGGGTAAGAATGTAGATAGACATTTGATGCCAGCCTTCACCTAGTGAATGACATTATTGGCTTAAAATTGAATGAAGCATGGGGATTGGGGTAAGGTTTCCGGGCCCAGACAGCAACATTTGGCTGCATCTGCTTGGCTTTGTCCCAGTCTGACCAGGTGACAAACGCGACTACTAGTAACCGCAGGTTGTTTGAAAAGACAAACACTATTCGTTAGAATTGTGTTTTTCTATTGAAAAACAACCGGAGCGGTCCTTCTCCGGGCTATGTTTTGCATGTCTGGCCGCGAATTGGGGCAACTTGGGTCAGGCCTAAACTTGTGGCTCGATTTTCTTAAAAATTTCAGTGTATGGGCTCCCGCAGGCGATCTACCTGATGGCTTCGGTCGCTACTCGCTTAAAACCTCGTGGCACGTGGCACGTGCGATTCCATTTTCCCCATGTTAAGTCAATGGGGTTTTGGACACTTTTTGCGCGATCGCGAATAGCGGGAAAACGAGCCAAGGAAGAGGTGGTTTTCTTCCCAGCATTTTATGGCAAACACGTTTGGGTACACGCTAGTGTGCGCCGTATACCCCTCAGAACTTCGTAACGTGACTTTGCACGAGGTCAAAGTTGAACTTTTTTCGCTCCCCATGTTAAGTCAATGGGCATTTTTGCAGAGACTTTTTCATTCGCTCATTGTACAAAATTATATGATACGATTTTGTTTAAACTTCCAGGACTTGTTGAGAAAAGACCATAGAACATGTTGTTATGCTTCTTTAAGCTGTGCAAATTCGTTTGTTCTTTTTAGGCTCGTTTAAAAATGAAAAATTTTAACATGGAAAGTCAATGGGAGCGTCTTTGCTGCTTAATAACTTTTTACAGTTGAGATATATTTATGTGAAAAGTTGATAGGTTATACAACTTTTGATGCTCTTTCCAATGATATATACAACTTTATTGCACGTGGTGCCGTTTTTGAGAAATATAGTAAAAAAGCACGACATTACCGAGATTTGAGCTCAGACCTATATCGTTACGGTGTCAGGCGGACACGAGGACAGGTGGCGCCGCCGCCGCCCGCATAGCGGCGGGAATGTGAACTAACCTGTTTACCATCTATGGTATGGTACCATCGGGGGACCGGCCGCCGTCGGCACCATTTCGGGACTTTGCATCGCAATAAAAGGCTTATTTACAATTGAAAATGGACTAGCGAGAGTCGTTATGGAATCAGAATTTGATGCTCTACAAAACTAGGCTATTTTCATTGTGATGGCATTAACCGCAGGTTGTTTGAAAAGACAAACACTATTCGTTAGAATTGTGTTTTTCTATTGAAAAACAACCGGAGCGGTCCGTCTCCGGGCTATGTTTTGCAAGTCTGGCAGCGAATCGAGACATTTTGGGTGGGGCCTAAACGTGCATTGCGATTTTCGTAAAAAGTTCAGTGTATGGGCTCTCGGGGGCGATCTACCTGATGGCACCGGTCGCTACTCGCTTAAAACCTCGTGGCACGTGGCACGTGCGATTCCATTTTCCCCATGTTAAGTCAACGGGGTTTTGGACACTTTTTGCGCGATCGCGAATAGCGGGAAAAATCGCAGGTCAAGGTATGGTTTGCTGCACACCATTTTATGACCGACACGTTCAGGTACACGCCCTAGTGCGCCGTCTACCCGTAAGAAGTCGATATTTTTTGTAGTACGACTTTGAAGTTGAACTTTTTTCGCTCCTCATGTTAAGTCTATGGACGTTTTTGCAGAGACATTTTCATTCGCTCATTGTACAAAATTATATGATACGATTTTGTTTAAACTTCCAGGACTTGTTGAGAAAAGACCATAGAACATGTTGTTATGCTTCTTTAAGCTGTGCAAATTCGTTTCTTCTTTTTAAGCTCGTTTAAAAATGAAAAATTTTAACATGGAAAGTCAATGGGAGCGTCTTTCTTGCTTAATAACTTTTTACAGTTGAGATATATTTAAGTGCAAAGTTGATAGGTTATACAACTTTTGATGCTCTTTCCAATGATATATACAACTTTATTGCACGTCGTGCCGTTTTCGAGGAATTTGGTAAAAAAGTACGACATTACCGAGATTTGAGCTCAGACCTATATCGTTACGGTGTCAGGCGGACACGAGGACAGGTGGCGCCGCCGCCGCCCGCATAGCGGCGGGAATGTGAACTAACCTGTTAACCATCTATGGTATGGTACCATCGGGGGACCGGCCGCCGTCGGCACCATTTCGGGACTTTGCATCGCAATAAAAGGCTTATTTACAATTGAAAATGGACTAGCGAGAGTCGTTATGGAATCAGAATTTGATGCTCTACAAAACTAGGCTATTTTCATTGTGATGGCATCACAGACTACACCGCTAACCCCAATAAAGCAGATTTATGTCGCGTCATCGATGATTACATATAATGTTTCTTTGATATATATGTAGTCGGGTCTTTCAGCTGCGTCCCTCCCCTCCCTCGCCGCGCCGGCGGGTCGGCCATCCGCGGCTTGCCGCCCGCCGGCTGCTGGCCGGTCAGCTGGCCGGTCAGCTGGTCGCCCGCGGCTGTCGGTGCAGTGCGGGATGCCTACTTGCGGGGGGCCGTCGTGGCGGCGGCCCGGGTGGACTGGGCGAGCAGTGAGTTGGGGAGCGCTGCGCTGTCGGTGCTCTAGCTTTTTTGCTTCTATCGCTTCACCCCTGGGGAATCAGTTCCTACACCCCTGAGTATAATGGTCACCAAGGGGTGCTGTCCTGACACGTTCACTTTCTGTTGAGAAGGTTAGAACAAACACCATGTGTGTCATTTAGTTGCATATATAATACCTCAATGTTAAGTCTGCATAAAGTCTGAAGTCTGTAGCAACTCTTACCACTTATCATGGCTCACTCTCCCGCTCTTTCCTTTGTCGCCCTAAAAGGCGCGTTATTTGCCTTCAATGACCTCTGGTGACATGATCTTTGACCTGACGAAAAACGTGACTTGTGGATTTCGTCGTTGTTTTTTTACTCTCTTCCGAACACCGCTTTCCCTTATTGTTAATTGGCCGAGGAGCCGAGTTACACGCCCCCTCCCCCCAGCAGGGTAGCACACCGACTGCGGTCTGCACGTGCAAGGCTCATCCTCTCGTTTGGTGGAGGGCGTTTTTGCTGCGTTTACAAAGGTGCTTGCTCAAACAACCTGCGGTCCCGCGATGCGGAGCCCGGCATCGCAGATGCCGCGTATCAGTCAGTGATGTATAGGGAATGCTGCATCAAAATGCGCCTGTGTGGGGCTTACAAGTTTCAAAGTACATAAACCTGACTCTGTGAAGCCTTGCCCTGACACCCTCTGGTGTGGCGCGGTCGGTAGGTAAATAAGTAGAGAAGATGTTGACTAAACATTGTACCACTGCATTTGAGCTCTGACCTCTCCTCATCTCCTGGTCACTACGGGGCTGCATGGCGCCGGGCCCTCCACTCCACACGCCACTCCGCGGCGTGCGCTCGTGCGTAACAGGCGAGGTGAAGGGTCACCGGCGCAGGGGCGCACGGCGCGCGGCCGTCCGCCCGCCCGCCCGCTCGCCGAGCCACCCACGACCAGTGTTCTAAAATTGGATTTTGGTTGGGTGTGCCGATGAAGAAACAAAAATCCTAGGATGAGAAAAAGGGAAGTAAATAACTGGAGTATTTTTGCAAAATGGTGTAATGCCAATTTTTATGCCAACTGATAAACCAGGATTTCAATTTTCATGTCAGGATCTTGACATGGTATGAAACAAAAGGATGTGGGTGCATCAACTGTCAAGTGACATGTAAACTGGCTGTTGGGAATACGCGAAACATTTTTCAGAGATGAAGTGAAGTCGGTTATTCATATTTTAGGGATGAAAGTATTTTCCCCATTAGGTGTGATTTGCCACCAAAAAGTCTGAAAAATGGAACACTGCCCACGACTAAGACCTGGAATAACCGTACGCGCGAAGCGATGGTCATTCTGACGGCTAGCTAAAAAGTTATTCAAAGTTCGGCAATAGCAGTGGGCACCGGGCTTGACGTAACTGCGTCTGAATTCTGATCTGCTATGCTATTACCAGCTGTTCCACACTACTTTTCTTTGTATAAAGTGGAGTATGTAACTGTCTGAACTATTAATAACAATGTCGTGAAATCTGCAACTAGGTCTGGTTTTGTACTTTTCTAGGTTGTAGTATGTAAATACTACGAGAGATGGCTTCAGCACCGAGGTCGTACAAGGACCAACTGCAAGGATGGCTGGGGAAAAACAAACTAAAATCATCATACAACGAGAGCACTAATGGTAAGACGATATGCACCTGCTGGGTTTATTATCTAGTCACGCTGTTTGGATTCCTTCTATCTGTGCATATGTAGTGGGATCTGAATGTGCATTGTGCAGTGACTCCAGTGGTTTTCTTAAGATTTTGCCAAGTGGAGGATGTGATAAGGGACTGTTGGTCTGTCTCAGGTCTCACCCAAGAAAGGCGCTGGCAAATTAACCCGCGCCCCATTGGGCTATTGGCGGGGTATATCTGTAAGAATCTTGGACCCTCTACCCGTCGAAGATCTTGGAAAGTTACCGACAAATTTTGCAAATTCAAACGTTGTTTGTTCCATAGCCCCACCAGAGAACTACCTTGTCTTCAAGTTTCGTTGACCTAGGTGCGACCGATGACGTCACAGGTCAGGTCATAGGTCGCATTTTTTACCGAGTACGGGCTTTCAGAGGAATGCGTTATTACATCGAATAAAAGGCATACTATCGAAAATCATCGATAGAGCGTCGGCTGCCTAGTACAATGCTGCTAAAAGAGGTCACTGATATCAGGTTACGGTCATGACACATTGACTCAACTTTACTAGGGTCGTGTGATGCATGTATTAGGGCCATTTTTTCATTCCCAACTCAATGTTGCCGGTTAGACGACCACCAGGGCGGGTTTAGGCTACGTTCTGGTGGAGTCAAGGGGTCTGTTCCAGTCGCACTTCCTAACACCTCTAAACTCCTCCAAGATTGCTTCCCTGTTCCAGTGGCAGCTCTAGCCCCTACAAAGCCAAGGAGGGCCCTGCTCCAACCTCCTCTATCTTGCTCTTGGAGGAGTTTAGAGGCGTTAGGAAGTGCGACTAGAACGGACCCAAGTAAGATAAAAAAAGGTCAAATTTCAAGAGTTTTGCATAAAAGGATATCTATCCGATGCAGCTCACCACGGGGAATCCAATGGTGGTCTTAGTTTTTAGTATGCGTGGTCTATAACGGCTAACAATTGAGTTTGAATATTTGACGTCATGAATTTTTAGCAGTTGTTTCGCCATAACTTTGCCAAAAATAGACTTATTGAGCTCAAATTTGACATGTCGATAGCAGACTAATAGATCTAATAACATATTTTCCGTTTTATCGAAATTTTAAAAATTTAGGTTTTTAGGGTATTACTTCCAAAAATTACTTTTTATAAAAAAAAAATTGGTGTCAAACTAATAAAAAATCCGAGATTGTTGTTTTGAAGCCCCGTTCATTTTACATCTTTTTAACCTTCGCCCTGGTGGGGGGGGCATTTTGGCCCCCCCCCCCTGTGGTTTTTCAGCGATAACTCAGAAACCACTTGAGTTAGCGCCCTGAAACTTTGTATAGCTGTTTATTCAACATTTTTACATCATGTCCTTTTTTTGGGGGTTCGGGTCAGGTCAGGTCAGGTCACAAGGTCACCAAAACTGACACCACCTCTAAAAAAGTTCAAAGCTCTCTCAAAGGCACAGCTTTTATCCGATCGATGTAAAATTTACAGTACTTGAAGATGTCACCCAGCTCTACAAAATGGCTATCTCGGATTTTTTATAAATGTGACCTAAGGTCAGGTCAGGTCATCGCTGCTCCCCATTATAAGTCAATGGGAGAATCGAAAAGTAGTTGTTTTTCAGCTAAATCGGGCGTGATTGTTCCTATATTTCGTTATTGAAGTGTCTTGGGTCAGCAAATCACAGCCCATGTGAAACCATTTGCTTGTGACCTCGCTGAGGTCACGCTAGGTCATCTCCCTGGTCACCAGAGGTCACCAGCGGTTTTTCTGCACTTACTTGTTATTGAATAGAGATAGAGACTCCGTTCGACGTTTATCGTGTTTGTCTCGTCAATGCGGATCGAATGATATGCAGCATGACCTATTTCGGTAAGGTCATGACCTTGACCTGAGGTCAAATTTTCAAAATGACCTTTCGAGGTCAAACTATATATCATTCGACGCGTCTCGACGAGCCAAGCACGATGGTGCATGAATCGTTTCTCTATTTTCTCGTGAATGCATGCTATAGTTAAAAACATTTTCAACGAAATTTGCCAAGTTGACCTTGCATGACCTCTGTAGGCCAAACCGTTGAGCTGAGGTCAAATCTGACGAACCTTGGCGAAAGAGCTTGAAAAGAGCTATCGATTGCTTTTTTCCGCGGCTCTCTAGCTCTTCTAGTTTCCGAGCTACAGCGGAATATGTCCGGCAACACCGAAAACACTGAAATTTGACCTATGATGACCTCTAGCGACCTCAATATTGACCTTAGCGAAAAAATGACCGAAATACTTTCGAACGTACTTGTTATGGGCTTTCGTTTGCTTTTTTCCGCGTCTTCCTAGCCCTCTTCGTTTTCGAGTTAGACGGGGGGGGGGTCATTTTGGCCCCCCCCCACCAGGGCGAAGGTGGCTCAGACCCACACCAGGGCGCGGGTTAATGTTGATCATTTTCTTTATCTTCAAAACTGTAGGTATGATAGCTCTTCCCGCAAAACCTTTTCTTTGTTTTTGTTTTTTTTTTTTGTCGAAAATAGCTGAACATGACGTCACTCTGACGTCATTTGTGGCCAGTCTATCATAGGCTCTGGAAAACTTTTTGGACACAAGGTGTTAAAGTGATGTACTAGAGGGTACTGAAAGTTTCGCGACGATCGGCGTAGTAGTTTTAAGAGATAATGCAAAAAACTGGAGGGGGGGGGTAAAAATAGCCCCCCCCCAGACACACATCCAGTGTGAGGGTTAAGACCTCTTTGTTGATGAAATTAAACATAAGTTCATAAAAGGACGCACTGTCACCTTTTGAAGTGCGACCTAAGAGCCATCTGACACATAACGTTATTTGATCCGCGCCGAGCCGGTGCTAGGCGCCACCTTGCCGGTGCGGGGAGGGTGTCTTAAAGGAAAAGGGCCACCTTTAACATGGGGATTGAAACTGAGATAGCCATCTTGTAGCCCGTGTCCGAAAACCTGGCTGTTTACCTCCTTACGGCCGATTTCGGCCTCCATTCGTAGTTATCGGCAATTTTAAAAGAAAATACGCCAGGAATGCGTCCTTATCCCAGGAATGCGTTCTTATCCGACAATACAGCCACCCGCGGCGAGGCTTTGGTTTTTTACCAATCAGCTCCAACCAGCTCAGCTTTAACCAATCAGCTTATCTGACACAATCCGACGAGTCTCTCTTCTGAACGCTGATTGGCTTGAGTGTGACGTCATCGCTATGCCATCATACAGTAGGTGCCGTAGAGAGTATCAACATAGTACCAATATGTTAAATAGTTTTAAATACTTTTTCGCGAATTGTGCACTTCTGGCACCAGTTTTAAAAAGAAAATGAAAAATAATAATGTCAAAATGAAAAACAACGATATCATCATATTTCACGAAGGTGGCCCTTTTCCTTTAACACCCCTCCCTGCCTAACTTGGCACCTGGGTCACACAAATTTCACCGGGATCGTGTAACGTGTTCAGACTTGTAAGCGATTCAACTCTGATTGAATCGATTCTCATGAATCACTTGAAAATGCCGACTCACTGTGATTGAGTCGGTTGAATCACCTCTTGTCACCATATGAATCCTGATTGAATCGGTCACACATGGCAACTGCAAGTGATTGAATCGGCAACTCATCGATTCAAGTTGATTGAATTAACAAAATGATTCAATCACCATGTGCTGAAAATTGAAGTTATGACCATATTTAGTACTATATTATGTACAAATATATGTGGCATTTGCGTCATAGTCACACACAATGCACTGCAAAATTTTTAGGTATTTTGTCAGTATTATAAATGCGCACAGCTATTATTATTGAAAAAAAAACATAAAAAATTTTGTTTTAAGTTTTTAATCAAACTGTAAACACAAATTATACATAAATGTCAGTGCATGTAGATGAAAAAAATGAATGTAATGTTTCTTTCCATTGCCCTAAAATCAGTATAGTAATCAAGTTAACAGTAGCAGTAAGCAGGTGCACATTGCTCAACAGACATGTTTTAGATATCATGTTAATCTTTATATTTTCAATACCCTGTTTCATCAGGACATTTGTGAGTAAGCAAAACATATTGATGAATACACAATGCATGTTTACATTATAATTTGGTAACCTTAGTTACTGATTTGATTTTGGGCTAAGGGTCATAAATTGCTTGATCTAACCCATGGTCTTCTCACTCACTTTACATTTCCCAGCAGAATCAGCGTTTACCTATCACCGTAAATAATTGGAATACCTTGGCTTATGAGCGTTGATGGATCTGTCACATATTGCCGTGGTGGCTCCCACTATTACACAAAAGTAGATACATACCCTACTAGGTATTAAAAAACAACCACCTTCCCATCACGTCCACCATCACCCAAAAACTATTGTTTTCATAGATCAACAAACAATCTTTATCCGTTTGGTGTTCTTCACCTTCTAGTTTTGAGGACCGCTAACAGTTTTGCATTCGATGCTGAATTCGGATTAGAGATTTGCCAGACTGCTCGCAATAGACGCGTTTACATAGGGTTTGTTGCAAGCTTATATCTCCGTCTGTGATGTTGCAAAAGATGCCAATGGTGCTGAACAATTTACAAAATGATCCCCTCTAAATATTTGAAGACCACTGTATCGAAATTATCGCCAAATTAACGAGCTAGAGCCTCGTCAAATATGCTATGTAAACCGGGTTAATATTTGCCACATGCAAACCACGCAAAATACGTTTTCATGTCGCAGCTGCGTCAATATACGCTGCAACTACCTAGTGCTGGGCTAAATACATATTGCCAAACCAATTTAGATTTCTACTGTTGGATATTTTTTCTTTAATGAATTGGACAGGATAAAAAACTGTTTTACACGCATGCATAAATATGCTTAATTGAATATAAAAATATAAACTATGTATTTTATCCATGGTTCTGCTGCTCAATTAAAGATGGCTGCCCACTTAGCGCATGCGTACTTCAGTACTAAAGGCCTGGCTACACTATGCGTGTGCTGCGTGCGTTTTTTGCGAGCTTGCATGTTTTGCGTATATTATATAAACGTTAATAAAGCCTTTTATGATAATTTATTTATTAATTTTTTTTTTTTTTTAAATATAACAAAAACAAAACATAATATTGTTCCTTTCTAGAACCGTATTATGCAAATCACGCAAACTCGCAAAAGCAAAAAACGCACGCAGAAAACGCGTCCTGGTAGCCAGGCCTTTACGTGGGGCGGGCTTGGAATTGTTGTTTTGTCATTGAAAATATGGATGGTTGAGATAGTTTTATCATGAGAGCATTCAGTTTATATTATGTAACTATTGAATAACTTCGTATGTGTCGATATTCCGTATTCTTGATAGTAAAGAAAACTTGTAGCACGCCGAAAATGTCTAGTCCTATGTAATGCTTTACTGGCTTTACCACTGCTTCATAAAGTATCAATCAATTTTTTTTTTTTTTTTGAATGGCTGATCACCAGCTACTTAAGTTTGGTATCACAATTGATTTGCAAATTTTGTTCCTTTTCGATGATGCTGATAATATGTGGTAGTGTCCTGTGCAATTTTGCATGTTTCCTTTTGCAAGCGCCAAGCAGATAAATGAATTTTTATAAGTCTCTGGTAGCTTCATTTGTAGCAGAGCTTGTCTTTTCTGTACTTAAATTATCATCTTTACACCGTATTTATATGAATATCTACAACTTTGTTGAGTTCAGTATAGATTTAGTACTTTTCTATGATTTTTGGTATTTTCTTAGTGTATTTGGTTGGTATCTGTTTGGTATCAGTTTCCAAAAATGACTTAAATTGATATCACATATGTATAAATTTTAGATAACATCTTGATTGAATCGCGTTGAGTTAAATCATGAGTTGAGTCATTCCCTGAATCGCTGATAATGGGATGAGTCGTGATTGAGTTGAATCACAGGGTCCATGAGTCATGATTGAATCGCTTGGAAAATCAGACTGTTTGATTGAGTTATGATTGAATCGGTCATTTCATCAAGTGAGTCGTGATTGAATTGATTGAATTTTTTTGAATCGTTTACAAGTCTTTACGTGTTTGTCTCCTCGCTACCCCGTCGACAGAATGGTAGTTGACCTAAGAAGTCAAATTTAAAATTTAATCCAAGGTCAAAGTCATCGTCATGGCCACCTAACCCAAAACTGTCGTACTGCATATCAGTTAATCCGTGTCGTTAAGTTTATTGTATTCCAGACACTTAAATCGCTCCACATAGAATACGTCTGTCAAAAACATCGAGAAACTGCTTGTCACCTTTTTTATAGCATTTAGATGACATTTGGGATCTACCCCCCCCCCCCCCGGTAGTCTTTCTGCTCTGCACTCGACATTTTTAGAGCTAGAAGGCTGATTTTTCGTATAGCTGCTCCTCTATCCTTTCTTGATGTCCACTGAAAATTTCAAGTCTCTGTGATTTTTGGTTTCGGAGATATGACCTTGTTTATCAGGTCATGTCATGACCCAAATGACCAATTCTCAACATCTTGCGTTTGCTATGGGCCTTGTGAGCTTTTGACACCTTGATTTCGGCATTTTTTGCCAGTCTTACCTCCCACCTATCCTGGAACATGTTGTTTGACGATGTACAGGTGTCAAGGTCAGGGTCAAGGTCAACCTAGGTCATCTAAGATAATTGCGTTTTAGGCAAGCTGAATTTACTTTTTGTGAAGTTTTTTGACTGCATTTTTGGTAAAAGCTTCTCAGATCATGATTTCATGTAATATGGACACATAAACAATCGGTGCACACATCAGTATACACACAGACACACACAGACATACAAACACATATAATTGACCTTGACCTAACTTGACCTGAAATGACCTTAGCAGCAAAAATCTGGTCGGGTAGTGTGACAGAGAGGTTCTAGCTGGCTTGGCACCAGAAAACGGCATCGTCATCGGTACATGATAAGCAGCGCACTTGATATCCATCGGTGACCCAAAACAGCAACATTTTTTAGTTTGACCTGACCTGGAAGGTCAATGACTGACCTGAGAAGGTAAGACTGGGTATCATTGGATTCGTCTCTTCCCAAAGAATCTTCTTGGTCTTTACCGCTAAGCTCTATCTCCATCAGGAACGAAATGGCGCGGGGGTGGCACCCCCCCCCCCCCATGTGCGTTCTAGGATGGGAAAATGGCATGTGCGGGCGAGGGCTAAAGGTTACGTAAAAATTGGCAATTTTCTGGTTCATTATTGACTATATACCTTTCAAAATGTTCTTCCAGAACAAGCGCAGTTTATTTATCTGCCATCGTCTTATAATTGAAGGGTAGCCGCCGGCGAGGTGCTGGCGATAAATCTTGGTGGGTTGGCACATTCTGAGTGGGTGACGGCTGTGTATATACGTGCTCTCAGCCGCTGCCCTCCGCCCCTGTCTGTTGCAGCCGCCGGCCAGTTTGTGTGCGAGCTCACCGTGTCGGGCTGCTCGTTCAAGCCGATCGGAGTCGGCGCCAGGAAGGCGGCCGCCAAGGAGGACGCCGCCGCTCAGCTCGTGCAGTGGCTGAGGCGGGCGGGCCGCTGGGAGCCGTCGGAGGCGGCCAGCCCGTCCAGAGCCGTCCCCCCGCCGCCGGCCGCGGTTCGTAGTGGCGCTGCCGCCGCCTGACGTCGCCGCACTGCCCACCCCCACACGGTCATGGAAGGGTGCCACCGCCGTATAACTGATGCCTGGCGAATTCAGTGATAAACTTGTCATTTGTTGGTCGCGAGGAGCAAAATCGCCTCGGAGGACAGCGGTTGGCCAGATTGCTTATTGCGACCTGCTGGAATACCATATCGTGGGATATATATTACTAACATCATAACATGTAATAATTGAATGAGGACTTTACTCCACAAGAAATCGTTCGGGTTGGAGCTTTCGAATTGTATTGCAAAGCTTCGTCAGCGTATCGTAATCGGGTTCGGGGGTATCGGTCGCAAAATTGAATTTTGCGCAGCGCTTTATCCTCCGCAGCGCTTTATCCCAGATCAATTTTCTCCGATCCATACACATGTCTGATAGCACCATTGTAAGCGTTCCCCGTCTTTTTAGCTTTTTAGTTTCCGAGATAACAGGAGGTGGATAAATATGCCCCTTCCGTTCCCCACGGGGACAAATTTGGTTCAGGCTCCCCACCAGAACGCGAGCTAATTTTGCTCTTTCTCAATGTTGAAAAGCTCATACCATCGCGTTTCGGAAATGCGTTCCTTTTGAGGATAAGAGCACAAAAATATATTATATCTGATAAAGTAAACGCCACTCAAAAGCGCTTGCCTGTGATTTTGTTCCGCATTTACCTACACCTGTTGTTATTTCATCTCTTCTTATTTATGTTTCAGGATGATACGAGTCGTAACTCTAATCAAAACCCAAAATCGGCCCTTAATATCCGGCTTCAGAGTATGCAAGTGCCTTGTAAATATTCAACGCCACCAAGCGTCAATGGGTAAGTTGCTGACTTGTTTGTACCGGTAGTCGGTACTTGGGTGCACCATTGCCAGTGTCTAGTTAGGTGAAGCTTGTCAGCTTACTTTCGGCAAATACGCCAACAAGTATACAGTCTGTTAAACAGGACGCAAACGGGTCTCTCTCTCTCTCTCTCTCTCTCTCTCTCTCTCTCTCTCTCTCTCTCTCTCTCTCTCTCTCTCTCTCTCTCTCTCTCTCTCTCTCTCTCTCTCTCTCTCTCTCTCTCTCTCTCTCTTTCTCTCTCTCTCTCTCTCTCTCTCTCTCTCTCTCTCTCTCTCTCTCTCTCTCTCTCTCTCTCTCTCTCTCTCTCTCTCTCTCTCTCTCTCTCTCTCTCTCTCTCTCTCTCTCTCTCTCTCTCTCTCTCTCTCTCTCTCTCTCTCTCTCTCTCTCTCTCTCTCTCTCTCTCTCTCTCTCTCTCAGAAACAAAGATATACTTACTGACATTGAGAAGATGTTTTATGTGCTTGGCAGTTGGCACTTAAAAATGCATCACTAACTCATTGTTTGTCTATGTAATTGACTGTATACTCTCTGTCGAACGCTGCGATTTGTAATGGCGCTGGGCGCACTTTTCAGGTTTATATTTTTCTCATCATCGATTCCAAGACGGACTCGTACGGCTCAGAGTGACCCACCTTAAACCTTCGTCCAGTGGAGGGGGGGGGGGGTATATGCTACCACCCTGTCGCTTTTTTTGCGTGTGAATAAAAACCGCGCCGCGCCGTTTTAAGTTCCTTTCTGTACATCAATTTTGGACAATGTTTGAGTGATTTGACCCCAGGTCATGTAAGGTCAGGTCACCAGGTCAAGTTAACTGGCCAAGCCTTAAAAAGTTTGCAATCATGTCCAGCCTGCAGTGTTTGTAAGAAAGGCGGATTGCATGATTGGTGGACTTGGTGGATTGCATGATGTTATAGGCGCCTACAGTTTGTATATCTCGGATTTTTATATCCGTGACCTAAGGTCAGGTCAGTGGCGTGACCTTTCCATTACAAGTCAATGGAGAAAAATGAAAATGCCTCTAGATCCGTGTGTACGCATAGGAACACTCCAAATATTTCAGAATCACAATGATTTGGACCACCCGTGACGACCAAGGTGTCTTTTTTGCTGATAGCCTCTAGAAAGGTCATCCGAGGTCATTTGAAGCTACAAACGGATTTTTGCCAATAACTCCCGATTGAAAAGAGATAGAATGCTGGGGATGGCTTCATTGTGTTTGTCTTGTCGAGACGCATCGAATGATATGCTACATGACCTATTTGGGTTACCATGTGACCTTGACCTGAGGTCAAAATTTGACCTTGACCTTTCCGGTTAAAACAAAATATATGTTTCGAAGCGGCTGAAGGAAAGAAACACGATAGTGCCATTGCCAATTCTTCATCTTTGCTGGTTCAAAAGTTATTCCTGAAAAAGGTTCTATCCAAAAACAGCTATTTTCACAATATTTGACCTATGGAGGCTTAACCGTTGACCTGAGGTCAATTTTGATGATGACCTTATCAAAAGAAGAGCTCAAAATCTATCGATTGCTTTTCCATGCGTTTTTCTAGCTATCTTAGTTCCTGAGATCTGCATGTTTTCTGAAAAATATAATGACATTTGGCAAATTTGGACCTTTGATGACCTCTACTGACCCCAATATTGCTCTAAGATGAAAAATGACTGAAATACTTTCAAACGTACGTATTGAGGGCTATCGACTGCTTTTTACCGCGTCTCTCTAGCCCTCTTAGTTTTTGAGTTAGAGGTGGGTGGTAACATATGCCCCCCCCCCCCCCACTAGGGCGAAGTTGGCTGAGACCGCCACTGGGGCGCGGGTTAAACAAGTTAATTAATTGGCATATGATGCACCATTTTTTAGAAGGAACAAAAATGAATGCGGACTAAATTTTACCGACATAATTTCACCGGTTTAAGGACAATTACTTATTATTATTTTTTTTTGGAACCTCCGCTATTCCTATGACGTCATTTGGAAGGAACAATTTGATATCTTTATAGTGCGACAGTCGTTGCCCGCAATGCAGCATATACCGCCACAGCTTTATCAAGGTTAGTATAAGATTTAAATATTGCTAGATCTGCGCGGACGTCACAAAGTCAGGAGGCATTCAAATGTACATATTTGCCCCTGTGAATGCAAGTGCTGCAACTTTTAAATATTAATGTTAAAGTGGGATGGTCGATTTAACCCGTGGCCCCTTTAGGGGGGAAGGGGGAACGTTTCGGCCTTCCTTTCCTTTTCAGTCGATATCCCCTGAAGCTCTGCAGATATCGCCAGCAGACTTCAAGGACTCCTCCAGGCCTCAATTTTACACGTTGTGGCCAATGTTTTCAGAGGCTATGATAGGTTGGCCACAAATTACACTAGAGTGACGTCATTTTCTGCATTTTCGATCTAAACAAAAGGTTTTACGGGAAGAGCTATCACACCTACAGTTTTGAAGATAAATATGTTCACACCAAAGGTGTACCTATAATTAACAGGGCTACAAAAGTCGTTCTGCCAGTGGCCGTAGTGCGTTTTGTCGATGTCACACCACCCTCTTACTCACGCAGTGTTTGTGTGGTGATTCGCAGAGGATTTGAGTGTACCCTCGAGATTGATCTGCCCGACGGTCGGGTGAAGTTCAGAAGCACCGGCCTCTCGACAAAGGTGCGTAGCATGCAGTGCACCACATTGTGCATGGAGCTTAGTGTTGGATCTGTGGTTTGATTGGATCCGCGTTCAAGATCCACGGGATCCATAGGCTCGGGAACCTGGGGGGAGGGGGCAGTGGGGGCAGCTTGCACCCCCCCCCCAACTTTGTTGCCGTGGGGGCGGTGCCCCCACAACTTTGAGACGGAATACTGCACTTTTTTAAAGTGTTTTCTTTTTTGTTGAAAAGGCCAAGGAATGAAAAATAGGGTGAAGTCGTATGAGAGTACGCACTTAGTGGATTTAATCTGGTTCTCATTTGTTTAATGTTTGAAAGAAAGAAATCGCAAATATGGAATATTAAAGTTCATTGAATTAGTCGTCAACCCATGAGGCAACAATCCTTCAGCGTAAATGGAAGTGGTCTAAAACTGACATTTTCTGAGCCGCTGCTGTTGCGTACTCTTACCACATGGGGTGTGTATGAGTACGCACGCCTGGCGGATGGAGTACGCAAGCATATGAACACACACCTATGCAGCTTGTAGTTTGCACTGTCCAAAATCAAATGCTTAACGTCAAACTCAGAAGTGGTTTAATTTAACCCTCGCATGTGTGCGGCGTTTGCCAGCTTCTAATGTGTAGGGGGAGGGGGACGGTTGGACCCCCTTCCCGTGTGGCCCCTGATCGAGCTAGACCTTCACGGAAAAAAACGAGCGTGTTACCCGTGACGAGAGGAAGCCGATGATACCCGATTTAAAGGTCCTAGGTCATTGGTTGACCTTTCAGGTCAGGTCAATGACCCAAAGTCGGGAAAATCGGGACCTGTTAGAAAGTCGTAAAGTGTGGCTGCTAAGGGGTTTTCGGGGTGCTGATCACGAATATCGTGTTAGTTTTGATCACAGATGATGTCTTCAAGCATTTAGACCAGGTCGGGTCAGGTCAGGTCAGGTCAACCATTAGGCGTCGTGACGGGTATCTGTAGTACGTGTCAACCGCCTCTGACAGCTTCGTAACATGTTACGAAGACACCAAAACTACTTTGTAAATGTTCAAATGGTTGCTAAATTCGAATTCAGCTCCAAAAACTAGCCTATAAACATGTACAGCTCGAAAAAGTGAACCGAGGTCACCAAAGGTCAATGACCTGACCTGACCGTCATGTGACCTTGACTTCCACCCAAATGCATGGGAGCAGCATCAAATCTCATGTTTGAGCGTTTGAAACCACGAGAAGCTTGCAAACGCGCGGCTAATGCGAGCCAACATACGTCGAATCGCGATTCCGGCCAAACATGGCCTCGAGAAATAGGTCACAGGTCAAAGGTCACTTGGGTCAGGGTCATGAAATTTTCAGAATAGGTGTAAAATTAATCAACTCGAGGGTTCTAAAAGTTTCGTCGCGATCGGCCGCTTTTTGCGCGAGTTATTCGCGAAAAACCGATGGGGGGTCCATTCGACCCCCCCCCCTACACATGCGAGGGTTAACCCTCGCCGGCACAGGCCATTTTGAGTCATTCGACGGCACAGGGGGGGGGGGGGGGTTGGTACGACCGTTTGGCCCCTGATCGAGCTAGAGCTTCGCGGAAAAAACGAGCGTGTTGCCCGTCACGAGAGGAAGCCGATTATACCCAATTTTAAGGTCCTAGGTCATCGGGTGACCTTCCAGGTCAGGTCAATGACCCGAAAACCGGGAAAATCGGGACCTGTTAGAAAGTCGTAAAGTGTGGCTGCCATGTGGTTTTCCGGGGTGCTGATCACGAATATCGTGTTAGTTTTGATCATAGATGATGTCTTTAAGCATTTAGACCAGGTCGGGTCAGGTCAGGTCAGGTCAACCGGTAGGGGTTGTGACGGGTATTCGTAATACGTGTCAACCGCCTCGGACAGCTTCGTAACATGTTACGAAGGCACCAAAACTACTTCGTAAATGTTCAAATGGTTGCTAAATTCGAATTCAGCTCCAAAAACTAGCCTAGAAACATGTAAAACTCGAAAAAGTGAACCGAGGTCACCCGAGGTCACCAAAGGTCAGTGACCTGACCTGACCTTCAGGTGACCTTGACACCCACCCTAATGCATGGGAGCAACATCAACTCACATGTTTGAACGTTTGAAACCACGAAAAGCTTGCAAACGCGCGGCTAATGCGAGCCGACATGCGCCGAACCGCGATTTCGGCCAAACATGGTCACAGAAAAGAGGTCACAGGTCAAAGGTCATTGGGGTCAGGGTCATGAAATTTTCAGGGTAGGTGTAAAATTGATCAATGCAAGGGTACTGAAAGTTTCGTCGCGATCGGCCGCTTTTTACGCGAGTTATTCGCGAAAAACCTTAGGGGGGGGGGGGGGGTTGCATCAACGTGCCTCCCTGTGCCGGCGAGGGTTAATTCTAGTATCCAAAAAGAAAAGAAAAAGATAGTCACATAATCTATAAATCAAGAAATAATGTACAATCAAAAGGGAGAATAGCTCGTATTTAGAAGAATTTGGGGTGCGCATCTGCCACAGGGTGGTCCATTGATGAGATACCTACAAAGCAAACGTCATTGAGCGATATAACTATTAGTAATTCTATATATCTATACAATTAGATACACTGCATAATTAAGCATAGTCACCCTCATGAACAGTGCGTCCTCTTACCCTACATGCAATTTGCGCACAAAACAACCCCGAAACATTGTGCGAAACTTCACAAACAGAATATTACACTGCACAGTATTTCCTCTTGGGGGTACCATAGGTTGATCTCTATTATAGTGTGCATTTTCTGGGGTCATGATTTGTTTTTGAGCTTGCAACTGCATAAAACCATATTTTTCCGCACTTTTGTATTATGTTTGGCACAGTGTTGCCGTGTGCCGGGCTTTTGATCCTGCTCCGTGTAATATTGCTTGGTGTGACACTGCCCCGTGCCGGGGTGTGACACCGCTGCGTATGACACTGTTCGGTGCCGGGGTGTGACACTGTTCGGTGCCGGGTTGTGACACTGCCCCGTGTAACTTTGCTCGGTGCCGGGGTGTGAGTGTGACACTGCCCCGTATGACACTGCTGGGTGTGACACTGCCCCGTGTGACACTGCTGGGTGTGACACTGCTCGGTGCCGGGGTGTGACACTGCTGGGTGTGACACTGCTGGGTGTGACACTGCTCGGTGTCGGGGTGTGACACTGCTCGGTGTCGGGGTGTGACACTGCCCCGTGTGACACTGCTCGGTGTGACACTGCTCGGTGTGACACTGCTCGGTGTGACACTGCTCGGTATGACACTGTTCGGTGCCGGGGTGTGACACTGCTCGGTGCCGGGGTGTGATACCGCTGGGTGTGACACTGCTGGGTATGACACTGTTCGGTGCCGGGGTGTGACACTGCTCGGTGTGACACTGTTCGGTGTGACACTGCTGGGTGTGACACTGTTCGGTGCCGGGGTGTGACACTGCTGGGTGTGACACTGCTCGGTATGACACTGCTGGGTGTGACACTGCGGGGTGTGACACTGCTGGGTATGACACTGCTCGGTGCCGGGGTGTGACACTGCTGGGTGTGACACTGCTGGGTGTGACACTGCTCGGTGTCGGGGTGTGACACTGCTCGGTGTCGGGGTGTGACACTGCCCCGTGTGACACTGCTCGGTGTGACACTGCTCGGTGTGACACTGCTCGGTATGACACTGTTCGGTGCCGGGGTGTGACACTGCTCGGTGCCGGGGTGTGATACCGCTGGGTGTGACACTGCTGGGTATGACACTGTTCGGTGCCGGGGTGTGACACTGCTCGGTGTGACACTGCTCGGTATGACACTGCTCGGTGTGACACTGCTCGGTGTGACACTGCTCGGTGTGACACTGCTGGGTGTGACACTGTTCGGTACCGGGGCGTGACACTGCTGGGTATGACACTGTTCGGTGCCGGGGTGTGACACTGCTGGGTGTGACACTGCTCGTTGCCGGGGTGTGACACTGCTGGGTGTGACACTGCTCGGTGCCGGGTATGACACTGCTCGGTGCCGGGGTGTGACACTGCTCGGTGCCGGGATGTGACACTTCTCTGTGTGACACTGTTCGGTGCCGGGGTGTGACACTGTTCGGTGCCGGGGTGTGACACTGCTCCGTGTGACACTGCTCGGTGCCGGGGTGTGACACTGCTCGGTGTGACACTGTTCAGTGTGACACTGCTCGGTGTGACACTGCTCGGTGTGACACTGCTCGGTGTGACACTGCTCGGTGTGACACTGCTCGGTGTGACACTGCTCGCGGTGCTGCCAGGAGGCCGAGCGCGCCTGCGCCCGGGACGCGCTGCTCCACCTGGACAGGCGGCCCGGCGGCCAGCTGCGCCGGACCGTCAGCGCGGCGCCGGCGCAGGCGGACGGAGTGCCACCGCTGCCCAGGAGCGCCTCTCTGCCGGCGGCGCCGGCGGCGGCGGCGGCGACCCGGCCGGTACGTACACCGCCCGCGGGCACCGCTGCCCCCTGCCCCCCAGTGTTCTAAAATTGGATATTGGTTGGGTGTGCCGATGAAGAAAAAGAAATCCTAGGATGAGAAATGAGGAAGTAAATAACTGAAGTATTTTTGCAAAATGGTGTAAATGCCAATTTTTATGCCAACTGATAAACCAGGATTTCATGTCAGGATTTTGACAGGGGGTGAAACAAAAGGATGCGGGTGCATTAACTGTCAAGTGACATGTAAACTGGCTGTTGGGAATACATGAAACTTTTTTTCAGAGATGAAGTAAAGTCGGTCAGTCATATTTAAGGGATGAAAATATTTTCCCCATTAGGTGTGCTTTGCCACCAAAAAGTCTGAAAAAAATGCCAACCCCCCCCCCCCCCACACACACACAGTCGGTCAGCAGCTATGTTAAGAATCGCAATGCATACTCGAGCGTAGCTGTTAGGGACACGTCAAAATGTCACTTTACAAAGTATATCGTTAACCCGTGCCGGGCCGGAGGGAGCTTGAACCCCCCCCCCCCCCCAACTCGGCTCTGTTACCACTTAGCGACATGCTAAACGGCACTCCAAAGAGCGTCATAATCATGACGAAATTAACTACTTTGTTTTTTTTTTTAGCTCAGGCCAAAGGTCAGGCAATGCCATCAAAAGTAAATATTTGCCTATTTTAACATATTCGACAAACCGGCGTATAACTCGGGAACCAATAGAGCTACGCGCTGCTGGAAAGTGAATTCGGTAACTCTTAAACGTTTTTTTCTGTAGACTGTCTTCAGATAAGATCTAAGATCAACAGGATGGTAAAAACTGTAGAAAAACGTTATTTGCAGAAGCGGTTTTTTTCTGCAATAACTTTTGACACACAAACAGCATGAGCTTACTTTTACCGGCATCGCGTTTCTCTCTCGTCGAACGAACTATAATTTGACCTTGAAAGGTTAGCTTGAAATTTTGACCTCAGGTCAAGGTCATGACCTGACCGAAAAATCGTGTTGCATATCAGTCGATCCGTATCGTCGAGCTGAACACACCTGTGTTTTTCACTGTTCTAGCATGCCTCTATCAAAAGCTTAAGCAAAAAACTGTTGGACACCTACATGAGATGACCTCGGGGACATAGGGAGGGGTCACGGGTGCCACTTACCGGTTCAGTGCGTCATGTTTACGTGTTACTCGGTGTTTGAGAGTGTTTAGAATGATGTCTGTCCAAAAGAGGCGCCTTTCAATTTTCTCCTGTTGACCTATACATAATAGAGATGATCATTGATTGACCTGACCTTTGGTCACCGATATTAAAGTTCCGAGATATACATATATTTTGACATACTGTTGCACCTATCAATATCTGAAAGTTTCAAGGCGATCCGTCACTCTGTAGCTATGGCAAGCATTGAAACCTGTTCTGAGGGGCGTCAATTGACGTGACCTGGTGACCTGCTGACCTATACAGGGTGTCTCAAAAGTTCGTTCACACATTTCCCATGCCAATAAAGCATATAAGAACCGGCCAAAAGTATAAGGTTTTGGTGTCTGTGTGTACACTAGACAAATATGCATGCTTTGACAACTGATTAAGAAGGTTGGAAACCAACCCCTTTGCTGTATCTCCAAAAATATTTGCCCATACCGATTTTTGTTGCTCCGTCAGCTGCCGGAGGCTGATAAAAGGCTACCAGCTTTCAAGCTCTTGCAGGGGAATCCCCTGCAGTTTCTGCATCGGATTTAGTTTTGACTAGCTCCCCGGCAACATCTGATTTTCCCTGAAAGCCGACAGCTTGCATCGACACCATTCTTGAGTATTTTGTAGGCATTCTCTGGCGCTAACTCCTTCATGAATGACTGGCGCCGACATCCCAAGCGCCATTTTCCTTTTCAAAACGACCCCATTCCTGAACAAACGGAAAGTACCAGGAGTAAATTTTTCGCATCATATGGTAGCAGAATGTGTCGGACGTCTGTTTCTCAGACACATTGTGCAAATTTTGCAAATTCCAAGCGCTCGTCATTCCCCATGCCAAGACCTTCGCTCGGTTGCGGAGTGTTTTCCTCGGGAGATGTTCTGCTTTGTAAACGGCCCAAACCTGTCCATCGTGTGGTTTTATCGGGATTTTGTGTTTAAAAGAAAATCATTCGCTGTAGATCTGCCTCTTGAAACTTCGTTAGATAAAATTTTACAATAACTGACACTTTTGGAGGGTCAGGTGTCCTTGGCATTGACGATTTTTGTGTTATTGTCCCCAAAAATTAGCGTTATAGATATTATAAACAATTTTAAATTATTAATTGTCCTTATTTTACGATGACCTGCACTTTTTTAAAATGGGTAACCTCTGTCTGTGACCTTCTTGCCAGTTTTTAATAGTTATGACCGCATTTTCAGCTGCTTTCCGGAACACGAGTCTGCTGTCGTGCGAGGGTCGTTCAAAACGCCGTTAGTCTCGCATGGTTTCGTCCTTCAAAAATTTTAGCCACCATTTTTATGAGATGATCATCATGTTGCACTCATCCTCGCCGACACATAGCCATGTGTCATTTCCGACTTAACCATTCCCATTACTCCTGAAACAGAGAGTTTCACAACATACCCGACTTTGCAACCTACATTTTCGTGCCTGACCCATGGTCAGAGGTGAACCCTTTTTGTGAGCTCATGAAGGGTCGAATGCACTTGAAAACAATGAGACTGCTTGAGGAAGGCTGTCACCAATGCCCATGCAAAATTTCGACTGTTAATTTCTTGTTGATTCAGAATTATTGACAAAAAAGCATGGCTGGTACCTGTGAACGAACTTTTGAGACACCCTGTAGAGACCCTGGTCTGAAATGTTCACATATGCGAAAAAATATTATTGAGTTTGCGAGAAGGGCGGCGCGGAGCGCTTTTTTTTAGTTATTAACGAAAACCGGGGGGGGGGGGGGCTCGAACATCCTCCAGTAGGGCGTTTGTTGCAAGAAAATAACGCTATGATGTATGATATCATCTGATCTGGGGCCAATATTAAGCATTTCGTACACTTTGATATGATAAGTTGTGTCGCTTTTGGAAGAACTAGTTATACAATGCTCATTGGACAACTTAATATGTGGCCACCAATTTTCAGCCTTTGCTTCTCGAGCTGACAAACCATGATTAATGATTGTATCAAAGAGGCACAGTAGTAACAGACCTCAGGGTACATTCACACGCCGCTGGACACAGTAGCAGACCAAAGGGCACTGTAACTGGGCAGACCATGGGGTGCAGTAACAGACCATTGAATCTAGTAACAGATGATGGGGTCCGCTCACAGTCAATTGGACACAGTAACTACAGACCGCGGGGCAGAGTCACTGTCCATGGGACACAGTAACAGGCCGTGACGTCTGGTGGGTGCAGTGGGAGGGCTCGCGGCCCGGCCGAGTGACCAGCTATCTCAGGGCTCCATTGGCTGTCCGTTCCAGTGGCGCCCGACAAGGCCGGATAAACCCAACCCCAAGTCGCTGCTGAACGAGTTTCTGCAGCAGAACGGCGCCGGTGTGGTGGACTACAGCTGCCAGGAGCTGGGACAGGGGTGAGTCGGGCGTCGGGTGCGCGCCGCCGCCCGCCAGCCGGCCGGTGGCCTGCGCTGCGAGCTGGGGGCGGACGCTGCGCGCGTGGGCCAGCTGTTGGCGGCTGCTCTCCGGCCGGCGCAGTTCTGTGTTTACCGAGTGAGGCGTGACTCCCACGAAACATGCTCATATATTTCTCGAGATCCGTGGCTCCGCGGCCACTGATATCGCCGGTGTTGTAGTTGCCTAGAATTCGTGGCCACTTACAGATAGCCCTTCATTTCATTGGTAAAAGGTTTCCCTTGACCGTCGTGTTTTTAGAGACCGCGTTTAACGTACAGTCACAACACAACGTAGTACGTACACAAACATTTAGTCGCTAGTTGCTAAGCTTATAACGCACAGTTTGCTCACAGATCAAGTCTGAAGTTAATTTTGAGCTCATATATATGGACTGACTACAACTGCACCATAACTGAACTGAACGAACCTGTTGGACAGCTGGTGGTAATAAGGACGATGGTTTGTTGTAGGACATTCCGCACTACGGGCCGAATTGATCTCGAGGAGGCCCAGGGCTTCAAACTGCAGAAATGTGCCGACGGCCCTTCCAAAGCGGTACGTATTCAGTGTGCCAGGCTCGACATTCGTAAGCCTAGCACATGACGACCTTCGCTCAAACATACAACCAGTAAGACGCTTTGGGGGACGGCAAACGAGCAAGCGAGAGGGTGAGCCCTGCACGTGCGTCGTGCTAAGCTGCAAGGGGTTACCTTCAACTGAATGTGCGACGTGCGTTGTACCCTAACCGGTAACTAGTGGCGGGGCAAATTTGAGAGTTCGGTGCAATCAGCCCAGCCGTTCTTGAGATAAGGAAGCGTCACCTTGCACTTGCTGACGTGCAAGCAAAAGTCCCAACCATTGACCTATAATAAGTATTACTTATTATAGGTCAATGGTCCCAACTGACTTTTGCACGGCACCCTACTCGACGGTCACTAAACCGTCAACGTGTACCAAATTTTAGCGCAATCGGCACAGCCGCTCTCGAGATCTGGAAGTGATTCCCACGCGAGCGCACGTGCAGTAGCACCCCAACCATGACACATGGAAATACATTGCCTAGTTTGTGCACACCTGTATGCCACTTGCCAGTTTCAGTGTTGCCGACCCAGTGATAACCGAATTATTGTCATTGCTACAAAACTGACACCTCTTCGCTTTGCACGTGGCACGTGCATAAGGGATCACCCACATGCATGGGAATATCTAATGCTTGGTAGAAGAGACAAAGTTGCCCTACAAAAAAAAAAAAAAATGAAGTGAATCAGTCCATTGGTGCGCGGGCTTTGCCAATGTCTAATATATGTGAACGCTTTTAGAAACGAAAGGAAGCTAAAATAATTTAGATAGAGATAGAGATCAATCACATGGGTATAGATAGAAACGTTAAAGGGACCCTCCCACCTTCAAAAAAGTTAATGAATTGGCATGAAAGTGATGTCGCTCGGTTCAGAAAGAGTGAAAACGAATATCTACCAAATTTCATCGAAAAATATTCACCGGTTTTCAAGATATTAGACTTTTACTTTTGTTTACTTTTTTGGGATCTCCGCTGTTCCTGGCGACTTTATTTGAAAGTGCGGCATTTGTTGCGCGCAAAGCAGCATATACCACCGCGTGCTACCAAACGTTTTAGTAAAAGATTAAAAAAATCGTTAGATCTCCGCTGACGTCACAAATTCTAAGGGGGCATTCCAATGCACTAGCCCCTTAGAATCCGAAAACTGCAAGTTTGAAATTCCATATCTCCGAATTAAAGCATTTTTCGATGTTGTGAGTGTCCAAACCGGTATTTTCAGGCCATGGCCACCAATTTGGCTATCTCAACTCAAAACTAATGTTAAGGTGGGAGGGTCCCTTTAAGTTAAAAAATCAAGTGTCGGCATCGTTAGTAGCGATAAGGTGGCTGTTTTGCCCCACTCTCCCCTAATGCGTTGTAAAACATTTTGCTAGATGGGTCATTGCGCCGAATTTCCCACGTCACCACGACAGCTTGAGGTTGTTTGGCCCGCAGAGTCGCGGCTACTAATTACCGTGCTGTCCCCACGTTTTGTCGTGAGCGCTCTATTAGCAGTATTACGGCTGACTGTTACGGCTCAGGTAGGTCGATAGGTACGGCACTCTGTGTAAACGGTGGGTCCGTGGTTACGGCACTCTGTGTACTCGGTGGGTCCGTAGTTACGGCACTCTGTGTACTCTGTGTACTCCGTGGGTACGGCACTCTGTGTACTCGGTACTCGCTCTCTGCAGTGTCACGGCCGGCTGTTCTCAGGAGTCTGGCAAAAGGTGCGCCGAGGAGCTGATCCGAGCCCTGGAGCAGCTGAACTTACTGGAGCCGTCGGCGGTCGTGTCCGACCACGCGCCGCAGTCCGTCCGGGAGGTATGTGCGGGGTGGGGGCGGGCAGGCGGGCGATTGCAGTGTGCTCCGGGCGGCACTGTGGAGCGCCGCCAGTGCGCGGAGGACCGCTCCCGGCGGGCTGTGACACAGAGCGGCGCCCCGGCCCGTCCCGCGGTCATCGTCCGGGCCCGCGGTCACCGTCCGGCCCCGGCCCGTCCCGCGGGGCACCGTCCGGGCCCGCGGTCACCGTCCGGTCACCGTCCGGGCCCGCGGTCACCGTCCGGGCCCGCGGTCACCGTCCGGGCCCGCGGCCCGTCCCGCTCACACTGGCCGACTGCCCAGCAGCTTCTCCGCGCTGCTCAGTGCGACCGCTATCACACTGGTGGTTTTCAACAGCGGTCGGCTTGGCATGCATCTTTCAGCCCAGATGTCAAGTCCGGTCATTTCACTGCTCACTGATTTGGTTTTGGAAAATCCAGTATTCACACATTTTCCTAGATCTGCTATTGCTATTTGCTAGATCTAGAGTGCTGTTTTCTAGATTTGCTAAGTCTAGTAATTGGGACGCAACATTTTCAGTGGCACGGGAACTCTTTTCAGACTGGGAGGCAAACTGTAATAGAGATCAACCTAGGGTACCCCAAATCATGTTTTTTTTTTTGCCGGTTTTAGGTCATTTATTTTTCAGCCTTTGGCTTTTTAACGACAAAACAAAACAAAACGAAAACATTTGCGAAAAAATGAGAGATTTGTCTCAGCTGAGTGAAGAAACTACCTGTTTGGCAACCTGAAATTAAGAATCTGCCAAATGCGTTGCAGAGCGTAGTAATAGTAATAGTAAAGACCGATGAGAGATGTGATTTTCACTTTAACGCTTTCTTCCTTTGTGACCCACAACCCCTAATTTGGGAAGGACATGCTGTCCCAACGGTTCCTGGCCCTAAAAAAAGCTGTGGAGGCACCGCCCCCACGGTCCCAGGGTTGTTGTGAGGGCAAGCTGCCCCCACTGTCTCCCCCCTCCCCCGGTTCCCGCGCCTATGAACATTGTTAAGGTTGTCCATTTTTTCAGCGGGTTATTTTGTGTGTGTTGCATTGCTTGTGTTGGCACGGTGTTTTTGTGTTTCGGTGTTCCTGAGCTGCGTGAGACACGCGCTCTCTCTCTCTCTCTCTCTCTCTCTCTCTCTCTCTCTCTCTCTCTCTCTCTCTCTCTCTCTCTCTCTCTCTCTCTCTCTCTCTCTCTCTCTCGGTCTCTCTCTCTCTCTCTCTCTCTCTCTCTCTCTCTCTCTCTCTCTCTCTCTCTCTCTCTCTCTCTCTCTCTCTCTCTCTCTCTCTCGGTCTCTCGGTCTCTCGGTCTCTCGGTCTCTCTCTCTCTCTCTCTCTCTCTCTCTCTCTCTCTCTCTCTCTCTCTCTCTCTCTCTCTCTCTCTCTCTCTCTCTCTCTCTCTCTCTCTCTCTCTCTCTCTCTCTCTCTCTCTCTGTCTCTGTCTCTCTCTCTCTGTCTCTCTCTCTCTCTCTCTCTCTCTCTCTCTCTCTCTCTCTCTCTCTCTCTCTCTCTCTCTCTCTCTCTCTCTCTCTCTCTCTCTCTCTCTCTCTCTCTCTCTCTCTCTCTCTCTGTCTCTGTCTCTGTCTCTGTCTCTGTCTCTGTCTCTGTTTCTCTCTCTCCTTCTCCCCTCCCCTCTTTCTCTATTTCTCTCTCTCTCTCTCTCTCTCTCTCTCTCTCTCTCTCTCCCCTCCCCTCCCTCCCTCCCTCCCTCCCCCCCCCCCCACACGGGTACATGATGCCCACTGACGGCGTGTGGACGTTTCAGGTGCTGCGGGACGCCGTGCCCGTCCCGACTGGCCCCTCGGCGGCAGGTAGGCGCTCGTTTGGAGCCGTGGCTCCGTCATTCGCCTACTTCTGCCTAGCCCCTAGTGGCTCCTTAGTCCTTAGCTTGTATGGACGTATTTGGACGTAGCTTGTATGGTATTTTCCCGTAACGAAGCTGTGCTATCTTAGGAGTCTCTGCCTTCCTCTCAAGCACGCTCTCAAATATCGTAGCTCAAACACAGACTAGCTCAATGAGGGTGGACTACCTTCCCTTACTTGAGCCTACTAGTGGCAAATACAGCTACGTAGCCTTTAGAACATTCTACTCGTATATTGTGTGGGTGCTACAACTTTGTACGTTTATTTGTCATACCGTGGCGCTTACTTTGCACATGCCCTTACGTGTAAAAGCTATGTTCCTGAGTGCATAAGCACATGACAATTGAAATGCACAAATGCATATGAACATATGGAACATACAATCAAAATTACTTTATACATACAATATGCCTAGCAATCTAGACTTAGATGGCAGCTAATGTAATTTTATTAGTATCGTCATAAGTCAAAAATAGAATCGTGTTCGCATATCCTGTTTATAGTCTTTCTGTTCTCTTTCTTTCTGAATACTGTGTTTGTTTGTATGTATGTATGTATGTATGTATGTATGTATGTATGTTTGTATGTATGTGTGTATTGGCATAAAAGCCTTCCACATGTAGCGTGGCGATTACGGCTTTTGTTCTGCAACAAGGGCAAAATGGTAGTGCAGGGTCTGCTGGCAAATGAAGTGACTGGCTCATGTTCCGAGTAGTCGCGTGGCTAGGTGAGTGTGTGCTGCCGCGCGGTGCTACGCTCGCTGGTGGACCTCTGTGAGGGACCCAGAGTTGGGCTGACCGGCTGATGCCCGTTTCAGCGGCGGCGCCGGTGTCTGCGCCGCCTCTGGCCAGTTTCACCGGCTACCCGCTGTCGCCGCCCGCCGGCGGCTCGATGACCATCATCCACGGGCCGGTCAGCGTGTACAACCAGCTGGCGCCGGCGTCCCCGTCCGCCCCGGCCGCCGCCGCCGCCGCCTCGCCGCCGCCGCCGCCACCGCCGCCGCCGCCCGTTCCGGCCCGGCTGACACGTGAGTACGGCCACCGGCCGCGGCTCCCGACGGCGCGCCGTGTGCTGGCAGTGCCGCGCTCTGTGCCGGCAGTGCCGCGCTCTGTGCCGGCAGTGCCGCGCTGTGTGTCGCCGCGCTGTGTGCCGGCAGTGCCGCGCTGTGTGTCGGCAGTGCCGCGCTCCATCGGCCGCACTGATAGCTGACTCCTTAGATAGCTGCACCGACGGCTTCCAGTTTTCACTGCAGACGTGTTGGCGGTGATCTTGTCTACTGTGTATGTACTGTTTTTTTATCGGGTTCTTCTTTACAGGGTTTCCACAAACTGATAAGTGGCTGTTGCTGCCTATGTCTTTTCTCGCCAATGCTGTCTGATTTTGACCTAGAAGGCTAGGCGCATCACTTTTCCCGTCTAGGCTGACTGTGCAGAGACTAGTGATGTCAATTACGAAAAATCTTGATACCGATACCAAACCAAATACCAACAATAACCATGGAAGAATACCGAAACCGAACCAACTTGGTAAACTCAGAAAAAAATACCAACTCTTTACCAAATTCACAGGCTCCTTTACATTAGGGACGATTTACAGTGCCAACAAAATACCAAATGCATTATAGCCTTGAAATACCAAATGCCAAGCTGGACGAAATAGACTGCGACTAGAGCGACCAGGACCAGTGAGCCACGGGCCGCAGTCGGTCTCGTGTTAGACAGGTCGCGGGGGCTCGGATCGCCACGTCAGGGAGGACCTGGGGCTGGTGCTACGCTATACATAGGATTTCATTGACCTGATCGCACGGGTATGGTAACTGGTAGTGACCGTATCACACTGTGGCCGCAGATCTGATGGACGGGGACTGGTGCTGCGCTGTGTTGTGATATCTGTATCACACTGTGGCCTTCTGTCCGCAGATCTGATGGACTGGTGCTGCGCTGTGTGGTGGTATCTGTATCACACTGTGACCTTCTGTCCGCAGATCTGATGGACGGGGACTGGTGCTGCGCTGTGTGGTGGTATCTGTATCACACTGTGGCCTTCTGTCCGCAGATCTGATGGACTGGTGCTGCGCTGTGTGGTGGTATCTGTATCACACTGTGACCTTCTGTCCGCAGATCTGATGAACGGGGACTGCGCCGTGTGGTGTTATCTGTATCACACTGTGGCCTTCTGTCCGCAGATCTGATGGACGGGGACTGGTGCTGCGCTGTGTTGTGATATCTGTATCACACTGTGGCCTTCTGTCCGCAGATCTGATGGACTGGTGCTGCGCTGTGTGGTGGTATCTGTATCACACTGTGACCTTCTGTCCGCAGATCTGATGGACGAGGACTGGTGCTGCGCTGTGTGGTGGTATCTGTATCACACTGTGACCTTCTGTCCGCAGATCTGATGGACGGGGACTGGTGCTGCGCTGTGTGGTGGTATCTGTATCACACTGTGGCCTTCTGTCCGCAGATCTGATGGACGGGGACTGGTGCTGCGCTGTGTGGTGGTATCTGTATCACACTGTGACCTTCTGTCCGCAGATCTGATGGACGGGGACTGGTGCTGCGCTGTGTGGTGGTATCTGTATCACACTGTGGCCCTCTGTCCGCAGATCTGATGGACGGGGACTGTTGCTGCGCTGTGTGGTGGTATCTGTATCACATTGTGGCCTTCTGTCCGCAGATCTGATGGACTGGTGCTGCGCTGTGTGGTGGTATCTGTATCACACTGTGGCCCTCTGTCCGCAGATCTGATGGACTGGTGCTGCGCTGTGTGGTGGTAGCTGTATCACACTGTGGCCTTCTGTCCGCAGATCTGATGGACTGGTGCTGCGCTGTGTGGTGGTATCTGTATCACACTGTGGCCTTCTGTCCGCAGATCTGATGGACGGGGACTGTTGCTGCGCTGTGTGGTGGTATCTGTATCACACTGTGGCCTTCTGTCCGCAGATCTGATGGACGGGGACTGGTGCTGCGCTGTGTGGTGGTATCTGTATCACACTGTGGCCTTCTGTCCGCAGATCTGATGGACGGGAACTGGTGCTGCGCTGTGTGGTGGTATCTGTATCACACTGTGACCTTCTGTCCGCAGATCTGATGGACGGGGACTGGTGCTGCGCTGTGTGGTGGTATCTGTATCACACTGTGGCCTTCTGTCCGCAGATCTGATGGACGGGGACTGGTGCTGCGCTGTGTGGTGGTAGCTGTATCACACTGTGGCCTTCTGTCCGCAGATCTGATGGACTGGTGCTGCGCTGTGTGGTGGTATCTGTATCACACTGTGGCCTTCTGTCCGCAGACCTGATGGACGGGGACTGGTGCTGCGCTGTGTGGTGGTATCTGTATCACACTGTGGCCTTCTGTCCGCAGATCTGATGGACGGGGACTGGTGCTGCGCTGTGTGGTGGTATCTGTATCACACTGTGGCCTTCTGTCCGCAGATCTGATGGACTGGTGCTGCGCTGTGTGGTAGTATCTGTATCACACTGTGGCCCTTTGTCCGCAGATCTGATGGACGGGGACTGGTGCTGCGCTGTGTGGTGGTATCTGTATCACACTGTGGCCTTCTGTCCGCAGATCTGATGGACGGGGACTGGTGCTGCGCTGTGTGGTGGTATCTGTATCACACTGTGGCCTTCTGTCCGCAGATCTGATGGACGGGGACTGGTGCTGCGCTGTGTGGTGGTATCTGTATCACACTGTGACCTTCTGTCCGCAGATCTGATGGACGGGGACTGGTGCTGCGCTGTGTGGTGGTATCTGTATCACACTGTGGCCCTCTGTCCGCAGATCTGATGGACGGGGACTGGTGCTGCGCTGTGTGGTGGTATCTGTATCACACTGTGGCCTTCTGTCCGCAGATCTGATGGACGGGGACTGGTGCTGCGCTGTGTGGTGGTATCTGTATCACACTGTGGCCTTCTGTCCGCAGATCTGATGGACGGGGACTGGTGCTGCGCTGTGTGGTGGTATCTGTATCACACTGTGGCCTTCTGTCCGCAGATCTGATGGACTGGTGCTGCGCTGTGTGGTAGTATCTGTATCACACTGTGGCCCTCTGTCCGCAGATCTGATGGACTGGTGCTGCGCTGTGTGGTGGTATCTGTATCACACTGTGGCCTTCTGTCCGCAGATCTGATGGACTGGTGCTGCGCTGTGTGGTGGTATCTGTATCACACTGTGGCCTTCTGTCCGCAGATCTGATGGACGGGTACTGGTGCTGCACTGTGTGGTGGTATCTGTATCACACTGTGACCTTCTGTCCGCAGATCTGATGGACGGGGACTGGTGCTGCGCTGTGTGGTGGTATCTGTATCACTCTGTGGCCTTCTGTCCGCAGATCTGATGGACTGGTGCTGCACTGTGTGGTGGTATCTGTATCACACTGTGGCCCTTTGTCCGCAGATCTGATGGACGGGGACTGGTGCTGCGCTGTGTGGTGGTATCTGTATCACATTGTGGCCTTCTGTCCGCAGATCTGATGGACGGGGACTGGTGCTGCGCTGTGTGGTGGTATCTGTATCACACTGTGGCCTTCTGTCCGCAGATCTGATGGACGGGAACTGGTGCTGCGCTGTGTGGTGGTATCTGTATCACACTGTGACCTTCTGTCCGCAGATCTGATGGACGGGGACTGGTGCTGCACTGTGTGGTGGTATCTGTATCACACTGTGGCCTTCTGTCCGCAGATCTGATGGACTGGTGCTGCGCTGTGTGGTAGTATCTGTATCACACTGTGGACTTCTGTCCGCAGATCTGATGGACTGGTGCTGCGCTGTGTAGTGGTATCTGTATCACACTGTGGCCTTCTGTCCGCAGATCTGATGGACAGCTCGGAGGTGGTGACGCCTAGACACATCTTAAAAGTCAGCATGAAGATCGGGAACCTGCGCAAGACGATTGGGCAGTGTCTGGGACTGGAGCCAATAGACATAGAAAACTGCTGCTTCAAAGAAGACGACCCGCACGAGGTACTGGTGTGGGCGCGCAGCTACCACTAGGGGTGTTCGTGGGGTCCCGCTGCTGCTGTCCACCCGGCGCCCTCGCGTCAGTGTCCGATGCTGCGACGTCCGCGCCCGGTGTGCGACTCACCAGAGCCCGCCAGTGGGGGACTGCTGGCCCGCCACCGGCCACTCGGCCTCCCGGCCCTCAGCCACGGAGCCGAGTCAGACCGGCCAGGCGCCTCGGCAGCGCGGGACGTGGGCGGCAGAGCAGCCGCACGGCAGCAGCGGCCCTAGTCTGTGTGACGACGGTCTTCTCAATTGGATACATGGGACACTGACAACGTGCCAAAATTGTTTTTAACTTTAAACCCGCGCCGTGCTTGGGGAAGGCGTTTTTACGCCCTCCCCCCCCCCCCTTTCAGGTTTGTCGTCAGTATCTCAGAAAGGGTGGCGTGCAGCGCCGTCGTTTTTGGAACTCCTCATCATACATCATTTCTGGACACGTGAAAATTTCAGATCCGGGTCGTTCGAGGTCAAATTTCCCAAAAACCTTTCAATGTTAAATTGTAGCTCATTCCACGCGGCTTAACGAGTGGGACACGATGCTGGCAAAAGGCAAAAATGCCGTGACTCTCTTGAGTCGAAAGTTATTGCAGAAAATAAAATTGTTAAAACGGTTATTTTTTAGTTTTTGCCCTCTTGAGGTTAAACCGTTTTCCTTAGGTCAAATTCAAAGGTACAATCCAGAAAGATCGTTTAAAGGGCTATCGAATGCGCTTTTCCGCGGCGCTGTAGCTTTATGGGCTCCCGAGTTATGCGCTGATTTGTCAAAATTGTTGAAATAGGCAATATTTGACCTTTGACGACCTTTGATGATCTAAATGATGACATGACCTAAAATGACTGAAGTATTTTCCTCATTATTTTTGACGCTCTTTCGAATTCCGCTTGCTGCGCGCCACTACGTAGCCCAGGAGTCTAGTTAGACGGGGGAACGCCCTTCCACCCCCCCCCCCCCCCTCCAGCACGGAAAACTCATACCACCAGCACTGCGCGGGTTAACTGCACCAACACATGTTTTGTTAAAACAAAAATGTTTGTGTTCAGCAATGTAATAAATAAGAATTTTCTGCTGGTGTTCACAGCTTGTTCATTACGCATAATACGTAACTCAGACGATTGTTGAGGATTGGTTCCTTGAAGTGGTTCTTAAAACCTTTCGTCGTTACTTCAACTGCATCTAAAGCTTGCTGACCAAGTAGGTAGGTCGGTTGGTCCTAGGTCTAAATCTAGTTAGGACCAAGTAGGTTTCTGACCAGCTGACTTGCTGACCTATGTAAAACAATATCTACTTAGCTAGTTGGGTCGTTTTGTGTTGGATTGAGGACTTGTTTGACCGAGCAGCGCGCCTTGGCTCCCCCTCCCCCGGTCCACACACACGCGCGCACCTGTGTGGGCCTGTGCGCGGCCCGGGCGCCTCCGCTGTAGCTGTGTCTGCCGGTGTTACAGATCAACCGGAAAATTCTGGGGGTCTGGAGAGAGCGCGAGAGTCGCGAGGCCACCGTCGGCCGGCTGTGCCGCGCGCTCTGGGAGTGCGGCGCCACAGAGGCCGTAGACACCCTGGCCGAGGAGCCGAGCACGCCGCAGCCGTAGCGGCCAGCCGAGTCGACCGCAGCCGCAGCGGCCAGCCGAGTCGACCGCAGCCGCAGGCTGCCGGCCAGCCCTACTGCCATGTCGCCGACTGCCCCGCCAAGCTGCCACTAATGCTCGCTGCTAGAGTCAACCACCGAGCATTGGTCTGCCGAGTGAGCAGTGGCTGTATATCCTGGTGAGATGTCAGTGCTGTGCTGCACCCCGAGTAGTTGCTTTGATTTCAAGGGTTCGACGCTCTCTAGCATGGTGGAACAGATGTCCATAGGATATCAGTTGATTTTAGTAACATGTGAGAAACTCACCAATTATCAAACTTATGCCTTTGTTTTTGACGCTGCGAAATTAGTCCCACCGATAGCATGAGTGGCTTAGTGTTAGAGCTAAAATGGCCGGTACTGCCACATTGTCGGGCGCCTCAGTGCGCTGTGCCTCGTGCTTTGTCTGAGCTTCTGGCGATCGTCCGGTGGCCGGTTTTTAGGTATTGATGCTGGGGCTGTGCTCTGGAGGTGGGCGGGGTGTTTGTGATATGTGGTCTGGGCACCATGGATCCCAGCCAGTATTTCCGGTGACCTGTCTTTAAGACGTGGGATTTGCCGTTGAATGTTACGGCTTTAGAGGCTTTGGTGTTGTTGCGTTTTTCGGTAGTTTGGTGGACGATAGTCGATAACTCGAACTATAACTCGATTCACCGGACCACCTGTCCATTGCTACCGAAATTTGTAGCTACGGAATTTTGAAGCTTCCTATTTTTATATGTTTCTGTTTCCCTCTTTGAACCTCTATTAGTGCAGATACAGAGTCACTGATCATGTTGCAGGGAATGCAAACTCATACCAAAATTCATTCTATACATTAGTTGGGAAGCTAGCCGTAATGTGACGCAATAAGTCGGAATAATGTTAGCCATTTGCAAATTGTCTTAAGAAAACCTAGCTTTTCAAAATAATTACCAATATCAACTTTTCTTTGTTCAATTGGCAGATGAACGTCCATTTTAGTGTTTTATTTCGTAAATGAATTTGTTTCAGCTTAGCGAACCGTGGTCGGTGCTGAGTTGCTCTGATCGTTTGGTTCTGGCGTTATGTCGGCACGTGCTAGTGCAGTATCCTATAATTATCCCCCCACCCCCACCGCCCTTTAGATCCGAGTGACGCGCCTTCTGACGGGACCGTACCTGCGAAATGCAGCGAGATGTAGACAGCGCCCGTTAATTGCCTAGAGCTCAATACTTAAAGTGGGAGCCAAAACCAGCATCGATTGATGTCATTGATGAAACCGTTTGTGATATTCTGCATTGTGATTTGCGTAAATGTGTGACTTGTAATTCGAGATGAAGACGAATCAATGATATTGAGGAAACTGTGATCCGTCTATCGAGCTTGGTCGGCTGGGCTGAAGGTTTTTAGGTCTGGTGAGGACGGCTGTGTGCCGAGTCCATATTGCGCCAGCTTTTTGGGGTCCATTATAACGTGCGGCGCGGTGACCCTTGTGCTGCCAAACAGCACCTTGGGATATGCACATCACACAATCGGAAGAGCTTATTTTGTGCATGGTGATATAATAAACAGTATATCTCTTTCGGAGTTGGGAGTTGCTCAGGCAGAGAAGTGGCGTGAACCTGTGACTGGAGTAATGTGGGATCTTAACGATATGATGGATCGACCCAAGGCCGAATATTATCCAATGCCGCTTCACTTACTACGCCACTGTAAGTACAGAAATTGGCGGCACAGGCAATGCTTTGTCGTCAACTGTCAAGTGTCTATTTCTTGGAGTAATATAGTCACCGTGGGAGTAATCAAGAAGCCTGGCGTTTAACCCGCGCCGGGCCGGTGCTCTGAGATTCCGCGCCGGGCCGGGGGGGGGTGTCTGAACACCCCCCCTTCTAACTCGGCTCCTGGGCCACGTAGCGACACGCGGTAAGCGGCAATCGAAAGAACGTCCAAAATAAGGACGAAAACACTTCGGTCATTTTTTGGGTCAGGTCAAAGGTCAGGTCACCAGAGGTCACCAAAGGTCAAATGTCCGCTATTTCAACATTTTGGAAACTGCCAACGGCTATCTCGGGAACCGATAGAGCTACAGCGCCGAGGTAAAGCGCATTCGATAGCCCTTTTACAGACCTTTCTGAGTAATGTTCTCAGATTTGACCTCAGGTCAACGGTTTAGCCTCCAGGGGGCAAAAACTCCAAAAATAGCCGTTTTTACGAAAAACGTTTTTTCGGCAATAACTTTTGACTCAAAAGAGTCATGACATTACTTTTACCACCATCGTGTTTCTCTCGTCGAGACGCGTCGAATGAACTATATTTTGACCTTGAAAGGTCAACTTGAAAATTTGACCTCAGGTCAAGGTCATGACCTGACCGGAAAAGGTCATGTTGCATATCAGTCGATCCGCAACGTCGAGCCGAACACATCTAAGGCGTTTTCAGCGCTCTAGCACGTCTCTATCAGAAGTTATTAGCGAAAAACTGTTAGATTCTGTTCGTGACCTGAGATGACCTCGGGGACATAACGAGGGGTCAGAGTTGCCATTTTCCGGTTCAATGTGTCCATTTTACCTACATCTCGATGTTTGAGAGTGTCTAGAATAACGTTCGTGCAAAACAGACGCTTTTCAATTTTCTCCCATTGACTTATAATGGAGAGGTCGCAAAATTGACCTGACCTTAGGTCACCGATATCAAAATTCCGAGATATACATTTTATAGATATTGTTGCTCTAATCAATCGCTGAAAGTTTCAAGGCAATCGATCAATCGGTGTAGCTATGACGAGCATTCTTATTTTTTCTGAGGTGAGGTCACTTGGCGTGACCTGGTGACCTGACCTAAGGTGACCTGGGTCTGAAATTTTCACAACATGTGCGGAAAAGATGCACGAACAGGTGTGCCAAAAACGGCGGCGCTCCGCGCCGCCGTTTTTGAGATATCTGCGAAAAACCGCAGGGGGGGTGTTCAAACACCCCCCCCCCGGCCCGGCGCGGGTTAAGTTTATTGACTTTCCCAGTCGGGAGCTCCCTTATTTTGATCCTTGCTAACTTTGATGCACATTTGCGAACAGCAGTATAATTAGATATGTTACCACTGACCAGTGCCGCGCGAACAGCAGTATAATTAGATATGTTACCACTGACCAGTGCCGCGCGAACAGCAGTATAATTAGATATGTTACCACTGACCAGTGCCGCTGACAGGGAAGTACGGCGCTGTTATAAGATTGGGCTGAGGACGTGGGGGCGTGATTTCTGTCTGTGCCAGGTGCCCGTCCGCCAGTCGCCGAGTGCCGCGACGTCCGTGTGGCCTGCAGCTGAGCTCTGGTCACTGGACTCAGTGACAAGGGGTGGCGACCGGGACTCGTCAGACCCACTGAATCCTGAGCTCTGGTCACTGGACTCTGGGCCGGCCTGGACTCAGTGACAGGGGGTGGCGACTGGGACTCGCCACACCCACTGAATCCTGCACCTGAGCTCTGGTCACTGGACTCTGGACTCAGTGACAGGGGGTGGCGACTGGGACTCGTCAGACCCACTGACCCCTGAGCTCTGGTCACTGGACTCAGTGACAGCGGGGTGGCGACTGGGACTCGCCACACCCACTGAATCCTGCACCTGAGCTCTGGTCACTGGACTCTGGACTCAGTGACAGCGGGGTGGCGACCGGGACTCGTCAGACCCACTGAATCCTGCAGCTGAGCCAGTGACAGCGGGTGGCGACTGGGGCTCGTCAGACCCACTGACACCTGAGCACTGGTCACTGGTCACTGGGCCGGCCTGGACTCAGTGACAGGGGGTGGCGACTGGGACTCGCCGCACCCACTGAATCCTGCACCTGAGCTCTGGTCACTGGACTCTGGACTCAGTGACAGGGGGTGGCGACCGGGACTCGTCAGACCCACTGACACCTGAGCTCTGGTCACTGGACTCTGGGCCGGCCTGGACTCAGTGACAGAGGGTGGCGACTGGGGCTCGCCACACCCACTGACACCTGAGCTCTGGTCACTGGACTCAGTGACAGGGGGTGGCGACTGGGACTCGCCACACCCACTGACACCTGAGCTCTGGTCACTGGACTCAGTGACAGCGGGTGGCGACTGGGGCTCGTCAGACCCACTGACACCTGAGCTCTGATCACTGGTCACTGGGCCGGCCTGTACTCAGTGACAGCGGGGTGGCGACTGGGACTCGCCACACCCACTGAATCCTGAGCTCTGGTCACTGGACTCAGTGACAGCGGGGTGGCGACTGGGACTCGTCAGACCCACCGGCGCTGAAAAATGAGCGGCCGGCCGTGCGGACGCTTTTGCGAGGCTTATATCTCAGCAACCACTTGACCGATTTACATGCGGTAATTTTGTAAGGCAGCTTCATTCCTTCTACCAAGTATTGGACTATTCCCGATGCATGCGGGTGACCCCTTATGCACGTACCACGTGCAAAACGGAGAGGTGTCAGGTTTGTAACAATTGCAATATCTCGGTAACTACTGGGCCGATTGCGCTGGAAGTTGGCATGCAGGTAGGCACCCACTAGGCAATGCATGTCCATGTGCCGCAGTTGGGGTGCTGCTGCACGTGCGCACGTGCAGGGGTCGATTCCAGATCTCGAGAATGGCTGAACTGATTGCGCTGAAATTTGGTATATGGTTAGGGACCGATTGGTAAGGTGCCGTGCAAAAGTCAGTTGGGACCCATTTGGCACGTGCGCGTGCAGTGTGCTGCTTTCAGATCTCGAGAACGGCTAGGCCTATTGCGCTCAAATTTGGCACATCGCTAGGGACACCGGGTGCAGTGCACAAGTTAGTTGGAGGTACCCCTCGCAATTTCGCGCGTGGAAGGCCCACCCTCTCGCTCGCTATGTTGGTCGCTCCAAAAGGCGTTTTACTGGTTATAATGTATAGATACACCTTGCTGCCTGAATGGTGTTAGCTGTTTTGCTCGATTGCAGTAGAACCCTACATTGCTCTAGCGGTGGTCTGTACCTACACTATACGTACCTAGCTCCTCACCAGCCAGTTTCACTGCACACGGCGCGCGCTGCGTGAGTAGCGGCCACATCCAGCGCGCCGCCTCCCGATCGACCGGTGGCCGTGGGAAGGCGCCTTCATTAAGGAAGACGGTCAAAAGACACGTGATGCCTATTGTGCTCGCCTATTGTAGAATACCAAGCCACAAAAGTGCTGCCCCGATTGTAGTGCATTGTCCTGGTAGTGGTGCCAATATTGATACTCAGCGATGCTGATGCACGAGTGACGGCAGCGTCCGAACGGAGCCAACGCTACACAGTGCATTGTGACACGGGCTTTTGCGAAAGCTGCAATGCCAGGAAAACCTACTCCGGACTAGCTCAGATGACACCAGTGTGTCAAAGACGCGCCTTTGTGCTTATCGCCCCATTTCAAATCAGTTCTTTTGGGACGACGGACGAGCTAGTAGTGAGCCCATCGACAGGGCAGTTTAAGCGCACTCGTCACAGGCCCCCAGCCATTACGCATTAACCCTCGCATGTGTGCGGCGTTTGCCAGCTTCTAATGTGTAGGGGGGGGGGGTCGGTTGGACCCCCCCCCTTGCCGTTTGGCCCCTGATCGAGCTAGAGCTTCGCGGAAAAAACGAGCGTGTTGCCCGTGACGAGAGGAAGCCGATGATACCCAATTTTAAGGTCCTAGGTCATTGGTTGACCTTCCAGGTCAGGTCAATGACCCAAAGTCGGGAAAATCGGGACCTGTTATAAAGTCGTAAAGTGTGGCTGCTAAGAGGTTTTTCGGGGTGCTGATCACGAATATCGTGTTAGTTTTGATCACAGATGATGTCTTGAAGCATTTAGACCAGGTCGGGTCAGGTCAGGTCAGGTCAACCAGTAGGCGTCGTGACGGGTATTCGTAATACGTGTCAACCGCCTCTGACAGCTTCGTAACATGTTACGAAGTCACCAAAACTACTTCGTAAATGTTCAAATGGTTGCTAAATTCGAATTCAGCTCCAAAAACTAGCCTAGAAACATGTAAAACTCGAAAAAGTGACCCGAGGTCACCCGAGGTCACCAAAGGTCAATGACCTGACCTGACCTTCAGGTGACCTTGACACACACGGGAGTAACATCAAATCACATGTTTGAACGTTTGAAACCACGAAAAGCTTGCAAACACGCGGCTAGTGCGAGCCGACATACGCGAAATCGCGATTCCGGCCAAACATGGTCTCGGAAAAGAGGTCACAGGTCAAAGGTCATTTGGGTCAGGGTCATGAAATTTTCAGGGTAGGTGTAAAATTGATCAATGTGAGGGTACTGAAAGTTTCGTCGCGATCGGCCGCTTTTTACGCGAGTTATTCGCGAAAAACCATGGGGGGGGGTCCATCCGACCCCCCCCCCCCTACACATGCGAGGGTTAAGGTTTTGTAATGGGAACAAAATTGACGCTTTTTTAATTTGCATCACGCGTTTCCGTTAATGCCTTTTTGAGACACCTACTTGCGGAAGACCTTAGTGTTTGAACACCCTTCCCCCTGCGGTTTTATCAGATATCTCAAAAACGGCGGCGCTCCTTCATGCATCTTTTCTACACATGTGAAAATTTCAGACCCAGGGCTCTCAAGGTCAGATCACCAGGTCACGTCAAGTGACCATACCTCAGAAAAGGTTGCCAATCCTTGTCATAGCTACACCGACTGAACGATCGCCTTGAAACTTTCAGCGATTGGTAAGAGTAACAGTAGGTATATGTACAAAATGTATACCTATCTCGGAATTTTGATAGCGGTGACCTAAGGTCAGGTCAATTTTGCGACCTCTCCATTATAAGTCAATGGGAGAAAGTTGAAATGCGCCTATTTTGGACGAATGGTGTTCAAAACCCTCTCAAACATCGGTTCATTGGTAAACATGAAACACTGAATCGGAAAAACGCACTTGTGACCCCTCTGTGTGCCCCTGAGGTCATCTCAGGTCATGAACGGTCACCAGCAGTTTTTTATTGCTATAACTTTTGATAAGGACGTGCTAGAGCGATGAAATCACGTCAGATGTATTCAGCTCGACGATACGGATCGACTGATATGCAACATGACCCTTTTCGGTCAGGTCATGACCTTACCTGATGTCAAATTTTCAAAGTGACCTTTCAAGGTCAGCAAATAGCCCATTCGACGCGTCTCGACGAGAGGAACATGATTCTGCCAAAAGTAATGTCGTGTCACTCTTGAGTCAAAAGTTATTGCCAAAAAACAATTTTCGTGAAAACTGCTATTTCCTCTGAAGGCTAATTCGTTGACCTGAGGTCAAATCGAGATCAATACTCAGAAAGGTCTGTAAAAGGGCTATCGAATGCACCTTTCCGCGGCGCTGTAGCTCTATTGGTTCCCGAGTTAGCCGTTGGCAGTTTCCAAAATTGTTGAAATTGACTACATTTGACCTTTGATGACCTCTGGCCACCTGACCTTTGACCTGACCCAAAAAATGACTGAAGTGTTTCCGTCATTATTTTTGACGCTCTTTCGAATGCCGCTTACCGCGTGTCGCTACGTGGCCCAGGAGCCGAGTTAGACGGGGGGGGGTGTTCAGACACCCCCCCCCCCCGGCCCGGCGCGGAAGTCGCAGAGCACTGTCCCGGCGCGGGTTTTACAGGTCGGTCCGGGCGGAAAAGGGCTGATCAGTGCTCAGTGTTCCTTGTTCATACTATGCATTAGGCTGAAAAGAACTGCTCTGCGCTTCGAGCTCGCTTGTAAGTCGCAACGGCATTAGGTTACCTGCGCCCTACTGGTAGTCTGAATTTTCATGGCGTACTGAGGAGGGTGTTTTAACGTTCCCTCCCCCCCTTCCCCCGTCTAGCTCTGCTCTTGGGCCACGTAGCGACACACGGTAAGCGGCATTCGGAAGAGCGTCAAAAATAGTGAAGAAATTAGTTACGTCATTTCTAGGTCATGTCAAAGGTCAAGTCACCAGAGGTCACCAATTATCATATCCGCACGTCAAACAGCGACTCGGAAAACAGCAACTTAAAAACAGCGACAGAAAAACAGCGACTCACTCAAAACAGTGATCGCATTTTGAGCGATCTCTAAAACAGCGACTCACACGCTTGAGCGATTATCTAAAACGGCGATCCGTAATAGAGCGACTTCCGAGGAACAGCGACTACTCTTAGCTAATGGGGATGGGAAAAGCAGAAATTGACGATTCCTTGCGACGTATATTTTTTTATGAAAAATGCACTCCTTATGGGGAACATCATATGACACGCTCAGATATCCTGGCGCAATCGGGGGAACCTGGTCCTGAAAAATCAACGATGTCAACGAAGAATCACTTATCATCATCGAAACGAATGAACGATTGTGTTGAAGCGAACCAAGTGCCGAGTGCTGAGCCGGTGTGCTGCATATGTGCTTGTTTGCAGTGATTGTTTGGTAATTATGAGTGAAGTCAGTAAGCAGGAACTGGATTCCAGGCTTCCGATGGAGCACTACGGGAATCAGTGGGTATATTGAGTGGTCAGTTTGCTTCCTATCAAATCCTTCCCTGTTGTGGGACCAGAGGCGTATTCACAAAGGCACTCTGCCACTCTGGTGCACAATAATGTATTTGTATCGAAACGAATAGATTGGCTGGAAAAGTTCGTATATCGCTCCTAGCCTTTTTCGACCCGTGATGTCGTATGCCACTTGGTTCGGCAGCAGGTCTTCCCGAGTCATGAGTAGCTTGATCTCGCTGTGTAAGCTCCTCCGGCACTGAGGGTGCTGGGTGGCTGCTGAGACTAGTGTCGGCAGAGCACACCTCTTACAGCTGGGATGGGGTGTACCAGGGCCGACCGGTGGCGGGCGTCCTTGTGTCGGCGGTCCGGGCCGGGCCGGGCTGGCCGCGCTGCTCGGTGTCGGCGGGGGCGGCCGGCCGGTGCCGCCAGCTGACCGTCACCCGCCGCCCGCCGCCCGCCGCCCGCCGCCCGCCGCCCGCCGCCGCTGAGCAGTCAGTCGTCCGGCGGGCCCCGGCCAGGGAGTGTGTGCTGTGGGGAGTGCCGACTGTCCGTCCCCAACGGCTGAAACCGTCCCCGTACCGGCGGATCGCCTGCCCTCGGAGAGCGCACCACGCCACACAAATGGGAGGAAAGGTGAGTCTCGATGCGTTTTCACTGCATGCTGCAACATTGTTTAGTCACGATGTCAACCCGAATTGTTAAGTCTACTCAAACACCCAGGTGACCGCGCCGCTGTACATAGACGGCTGTTCAGCGTTATCCCTCATCGCTGTCGATCCATGCCCGTCGAAATGTCGGCAGTTAAAGCTAACGTATAAGCGGGCGGCTAAGTCGCGTCAAACCATCGAATAAGTCGGCACCCTGTGCCGAGGAAAAATGAACAGCAAAGTCCACTTGACCAGCTGCATGGACTGCTTTGTCATTCATTGCTGAGTCAGGTTGTGAAAGGAGGAGTTCTCGAGGCCATCGGAAGACCTTGCAGCGGTCACACAAAACTACCTATCGATTAAGTTGCAGTTTTCAGGCGCATGAAACGACGCCTAACAACCTTGAAATTTATTCTTGCATGCCTTACCTGACAGCACTCTGCCCTCACTGAGGTAGAGAGACGTTTCAGTCACAGCAGCCCGCTACCTGAAGTATGTGCGCACTGCGCACACGCTGGGGCCCTCCCCCATGCGGGGAGGGGGAGGGGGACGAGGGCCACCCTTCCCCTGGCATATTGGCGACACTGCATGTGGGTGCTGACTGCTGGTTACCAACAGCATCACCATGAAAAGGCAATATTGGGGCGTCACAGACGTGCATATTGTCGATAAAATGATTTGTATAGTGGACATTTTTTCAGAAGAAAAAAAATAGACAACCTGGATATTTTTATAAAACATGAAGTATTTGAGCTTCCTTTGACGGATCCTGGGAAAAGTTTGTTACGAGCGAGCGAGCGCAGCGAGCGAAGCGAGTCTTTTCAATATAACGGAAAAATCTCAGTATGAGCGGCCCGGCCCGGCCCGGCCCGGCCTGTAACGCTTTTGAGAGGCTTATATCTCAGCAACCGCTGGACCGATTGGCCTGCGGTCTTTTTTGCTGGGTAGCCCCATCCCTTCTACCCCGTAATTGACTACTTCTGATACATCTCGGTGACCGTCGTGGCACGTGCCACGTGAAAAGTCAAGGGTATTCAAGCTGTTTTGCAAAAGTAGTGATTTTGAGAGGCTCATATCTCAGCAGCCGCTTGGGCGATTGACTTGCGGTTATTTTTATAGGTTAGCTGCATCATTTCTACCAAAAATAGGATACTCTCGATGCATGTGGGTCACCCCCAGTGCACGTGCAAAATACAACAATAAGAGGTGTCAAATTTGTTCCCATTTTAATAACTCGGTAATTACTGGGGCGATTTCGCTGAAACTTGGCATAAAGGTAGGCACCCACCAGGCAATGCATTCCCATGTGTTGCGGTTAAGGTGTACTGCACGTGCGCACGTGCAGGGGGCGCTTCCAGATCTCGAGAACGGCTGGGCCGATTGCGCTAAAATTTGGTACACGGTTGGAGACCGGTTAGTAGGGTGCCGTGCAAAAGTCAGTTTGGACCCCGTTTGCACGTGCGCACGTGCAGAATGCCGCTTCCAGATCCCAGGAACGGCTGGGCCGATTGCGTTCAAATTTGGTACACCGCTAGCGACCGGTTAGAAAGGTGCTTTGCGCAAGCCCGTTGGAAGTACCCTCTCGCCCTTCCGCACGTGCAGGGCTCACTATCTCGCTCGCTCGTTCTTCGCCCCAAAAGGCGTTTTACTGGTTATAAACTGCACAGAAGTGTGTAAGGAATCGACATCCGAGCAGAGTTTGGAAATTGGAAAAACTTTTTTTGGGGGATGTACCCTCCTGCAGTGCCCAAAACCGTCTTTCTGGATCCGCCAGTGGATCCAAGCTTCGTCGTCATGATACTCGTAGGTACTGGTGAACTCAAGGCGTGTCTCCGGCATCTGGAAAATGAGGGATAATTTTCCGGGATCACCGGGATCATTCGGTGTTTTATGCTGACGCCGTGCACAAGTCACAACGGACATGGCAACGAGTAAAAGAGCCATTAGTGAAGCAAAAGCAATATAAAAAAGTGACCATTGCATCGATAGTCCCTGCAATACCAAATAATTACCGGCGATCCCGTATAATTATCTCTCATTTTGCAGATGCCGAACGCACGCTAGGACACAGCCGCCTCCGTAGGTACGTACCTATTTTGCTACGTGACGCATCGTTCGGGTAAGAGGGTCATCACTTAACTCATCTCGCTGGAGAGTGCGGAAATGCAGGAACCTCAAGGGGCTGGACCCATGTCTTTAGTCCTCACCATGATTTTCGTTTATTGAAACAGAGGCTATATATGTAGCCGTGTATGTAATTGTACATTTAATTGGTCGGCACGTTTTCTCGCTGAGCCCTGGTCAGATCTCGACAGACGAGCGGCCATTGAAGGCGGGCCGGTGACGGGTGGCTGAGCTGCTGTCTGGGGCGCGCGCTCCTATATGTTGCGCTGCCTCAGACCGTCGGTCCGAACCGTGTCGTCTGCATACGGAGAAAGGAGGGCCATGTGCGGCCAGAGTGTCAGCTGTAGATGTGGTGTCCGGACGGAGCGCCAGCTGTAGATGTGGTGTCCGACCGCCCTGGCAGCGCGCTCACCTCCGCTCCGCTCCCGTCCGCTCTCACCTGAGCCGGCGCCGTGACAGGTGACAGTCACAGACCAGCACTGACTGTCAGTCTCAGACCAACACTGACACTCACAGACCAACACTGACAATCGCAGACCAACACTGACAGCCACAGACCAACACTGACAGTCACAGACCAACACTGACACCCACAGACCAACACTGACAGTCAAAGGCCAACACTGACAGCCGCAGACCAACACTGACAGCCACAGACCAACACTGACAGTCACAGACCAACACTGACAGTCACAGACCAACACTGACAGTCACAGACCAACACTGACAGTCACGGACCAACGCACCACTGGACAATGCGGCTGGCATCGCTATGCTTTATTGTTTGAGCCTATAGCGTGCTGCTGAGCCCTATAATCTACTCAGCGCTTGCCAGCTAACAACTCACGAATACAAACCAGTGGCCAGCAACATCTTGTGCTATACAATCCCCGGGCGCCGTCATGTCCATTTACATTTTTACACCCATCCTGAAAAAATGTCACTGTAAGTCGAACTTTCCCCGTTCTTTGCCCGTCCGCCTGCGTCACCCGCCCACGGCACGGACTGCAGGCGCCGCGTCCAGGCAGCGCAAGGGTGCGGCTCGCCCGTCCCAGACCCCAGGGCTGCCGGGCCCCGGTGCGGCAGACCCAGACCTCGGGGCGGGTGCGGCGCCCGTCCCAGACCCCAGGGCTGCCGGGCCCCGGTGCGGCAGACCCAGACCTCGGGGCGGGTGCGGCGCCCGTCCCAGACCCCAGGGCTGCCGGGCCCCGGTGCGGCAGACCCAGACCTCGGGGCGGGTGCGGCGCCCGTCCCAGACCCCAGGGCTGCCGGGCCCGGCAGACCGGTGCGGCGCGGCGTGCCGACGAAGCTGCCCGCGACCTCAGCCGCCACTACCCGTCCCACAGCGAGACGGCACTTTCATTTTCCAGTTTTCGGATCGTCTCGGCTGGCAGGCGCTGGTCTATGAGCTGTGGTGGGGAGTCGCGCGCCATACGAGCGACTGGTTTTTGCTGTTAGCACTGGCAACACAGCTCCGTGACGCGACTCAGTGACGGCACACAGCTCCGGGAGGCGGCTGTCACGTGCCCGGCGCGGTCGACGGATGGTGTCGCCGGTCCGGCCCGAACTGGCCCCGTTCTGTGCGACTCTCACTCTCAGCCGTCAGCCGGCGGCTCAAGGTCAGCGGGCCGGCACTCCAAATCGTCAGAGGGTCGGCGCGCTAAGACGTCCCGCAGCGCTCTGGGCACGGCCGCCCGCCGTGACGGGGACGCGACCCGACTTCAGCTCACCCCGGCCGCACCGAGTCGTCAGCCCCGAGCGGCGCATCATACCGGGTGTGCGGGAGCGGCCGCGTGGGGCGTCACGGCCCGCACCTGCCGAGACAGAGTGACGTCACACCTGCCGAGACGTGGGTGACGTCATGTCCGGGACTGATGATGACGGCTGCGCGCCGGAAGTGGTCGCGTGGCCGGCGCTGTGCTCAGCTGAGAACCGGACAATGGCGCCGCGGCGGGCTGTGACCGGACCCGTTTGGTGAGCCTGCTGCGGGGACTCGGCTGGTTTGAACTGCGCCTCGACACCGAACGGAGGGCTCGCGTGAAATACCAGCTACCGAAAACCGGTGCAGCAGCAAATACCGAGCTATTAATGTAGTCCGTTCCGCCCTAACACCACACCATTGTGTGGCAGTCGGCCAGTAGTCCGATCACTAAACAGTAAACACCCGTGGGCAGCCTCCCTGCCGGCCATCCGTGCAGGACCCTGGCGACTCCGTATCGGTGGCCGTGCTCCTCTGTCACTGCGGCGCCGTGCCGCTGCTGAGGCTGGGCTGGAGCCGACCGGTCTCCGTGCGCCGCCCGCCGGGTGCCGAGACCTCGCGGTGCTGTCCGCTGGGTGCACAGACCTCAGAGCGCCGCCCGCCGGGTGCCGAGACGTCAGAGTGCTGTCCGCTGGGTGCAGAGACCTCAAAGCGCCGCCGCGCCCGGGTGCCGAGACCTCACGGTGCCGCCCGCCGCGCCGAGTGCGCAGACCTCGCCGGCGGGCTGTGGGGCGCGCGCGGGCGATTCGCCCGGGTGCGCCCGACGCTGCCGCTGACGCCGTGCCGAACAGCCGTACCGTGACGGCGGGGTCGTGTCCGGAGTGGGGAGTGGAGGCAGGCGCTGAGCAGAGCACAGCCACAGCCCGCACTGGGTCCGACAGTAATTACTACATAGATAGACTCAGAGTCCGGGCTCGGTGGGACGGTACAAATAGGTATAGCTACAGACGAGCCGCGGACGGTAGGTACGCAAATAGACGAGCGCGGCCCCCGCGAGTTCCTCAGGAGTCGCCAAGACCGACCGGGACGCGTGCTTCCCCGCTGGAGAGCTGTAAGGTGATCAGATGACGGGGACCGAGGGAGTCGGAACTGACTCAGCTGTG